AAGGACCTGCTCGCCTGGTGGTGCCTCCGACGGGAGAATAATGCTCGGCCTTCGTTTGCACACTCAGAGACGAGAGCGGGGCCCTGCGAAGTCAAACGTTCTTCTCCCATGGGGCCCTGACCTCTCACGTGTTCCAGTCTAGTGGTGGTGAACACGGTATGCGTAACCCCCTGGACACGTGAGTGATATGCAATCAGTGCCCGTCGTGTCGTTCGACGTTCTCGACCAGAGATACTGCTCGACAACATGCTCGATCGTCTTGGGATAGTCTTAAGTGTCGTACGGGTCGAACTGGATTCCCGTGGCCCCTGAATGCCCCCACGCCCCCACCAAGATTAAGTGCCAATATTGCGACGAAACCGTCGAAACCATGGACATGTACAATGAGCACGTCGTGCAACATCATCTTCCTCATCCTCCGCCTGGGGCAATTTATCCTCAGGCCTCTTCTCGCACACCGGTGTCGGACGCCCAGTGGCCCAGAGAGTTCCACATCAGAGCCCCTGCAGCGGTGTTCGGCTCCAGCCAGGGGCAAGGGGCAGCGGCGTCGGCGGCGGCAGGCGTTGGCGGCAAGGGAGCCGACCGCCAAGACAGGCGCGTCCGCGCCCGAGGCGACGGCGAAAAGAAGACGGACTTCGGACCCAAGGGCGCGCAGAGGCATCTGCAGGTGCTGCTCAAATTTCTGCTGCAGCTGGGCCTGTCGAAACGGAGCGTCGAAGGCGTCGTCTTCGATTGCATCCTGATCGACACGAACAGCCACGAGGCGACCAAGAAGAACGAGATGGGCACGAAGTACTCGGAATCGGTGGCAGCAGCAGGACGCGGTCACAGCCTAGGACCTGCATACCTTTGGGTCTTCGGCGGCCTCTTGATGCGCCTGATGGGGCGGAAGGAGGTGGTGGGGGCCATCAGCGCGAAGAAGCTGACGGAGCTGCGCGGCCAGCTCGAGACGATGGAGATGACCACGAAGTGCGACAAGATCAAGTTCTGCAAGATGAACCGCTGCTACGATCAGAACAAAAAGGAGCTGCTTCTGGACCTCGATCCGACAATCAGACCGATGATCCTCGAGAGCTTGGCCCAGACGGGCGCGGAGCTGAAGCAAGGTCGTGCACCCCCGACACACATGGAGCGCGAGCTGCGGGAGTGGCTCGAGGCGTTCACGGAATGGCGAGTGCTGAAAGTGCGGCTCGTGGAGTGGTGAGTGCGGCCGTGTCGACACGAGGCGTCCCAGACGCGGTGAGCGCTGATAGAGTGGCTCGTGGCGTTCTGCAGCTTGTGAGTGCTGATGGTGTGAACGGCGTTACAGCCCATGACGCTGACACGGTGCCTCTCCCCGGCGGTGAGCGGGCTCAGCGATCCTTGCCGAGACCTCCGGCCCGACCTCCTGCCTCGTCCTGCCCTGCCCGACCTCCGGCTCCGACCGTCCCCTCTGCGCCGAGAGCGGCCGCGCGGTCACCTGCGCTGGCGCCGAGTGCTTCCGCCTCCGTCCCCCGTGCTGCTACGAGACGCTCGACTTCGACGGCGGCCACGCCACCTGCCTCTACGGAGCCCCGCGCTGCCAACGAGACCCTCTGGATCGACGGCGGCCACTCCCTCTGCCTCTGCGCCCAGCAGTGCTGCCACGAGACCCTCGGGTTCGAAGGCGGCGCCACCTCCCTCCTCCTCGGCGCGCAGGCCCCGTGCTCAAAGCTCCAGGCGCGGTCCCTCCTCGTCCCCAGCTGAGCTCTGGGAAGCTAGGGAGTGTGAGGCCCATCATGAGAAGCGGGGGATCCGAAAAATGTTTCAGAGCCGCCAGATGTTGACGTTTGCCAGAAAGGAGTTCGAGCGGGTGTACTTCTAACGTTTACTATTGCGAGGCCCCGTTTTGGGTGATGCGTTCCCGAGACGGTCTCTGGGGCTCAGGACGCTAGCCTTCAGCGTAAGCCTCGGAGGCACTCCTGCCCCGAGCCTGACCCCACATCCTGGGGTTTTCCTCCGAGCCTGGCTTCTTCACGTAGGTAGCCCAGACAAGAGGATCCTTGGAGCTCTGATCCTAGTTCTGATCCTCCCTGCTCGCTCCTCCTCCGTCCTCCCTCCTCTCTCCTCTCTCCTCCCTCCTCCTCCTCCTCCTCCTGGTCCTCCTCCTCCTCCTCCTGGTCCTCCCTCTCCATCCCTCCATCCTCCTCCTCCTCCTCCTTCGCCGCCTCTTCCTCTTCTTCCTCCTCCGCGTTCTTCTCCTTTTCCTCCTCCTCCTCCCTCCCTCCCTCCCTCCCTCCCTCTCCCTCCCTCCCTCCCTCCTCCCCCTCCTCCTCCTCTTCCTCTTCCTCCTCCTCATCCTCCTCCTCCTGTTCCTCCTCCTCCTCCTCCTCCTCCTCCTCCTCCTCCCTCCTGCTCCCCCCTGCCGCCCGCGCGCTCCTCGCGGCACCCGAAGCTCCACTCGGAGCCTGAGGTGGGTGGCACAAGGCCGAGACGACGGCAGGAAGAAGACGAATTCGGGCAGAGGTCGGCTACTTACACGCAGCGACTCGAGGCAGGAGAGTGGCATGTTGCCTGTGAGGCTTTCGAGAGCCGTGGTCCAAGCGCTCAAGCCAGTGCTGGGGGACCTCTGTAGGCCCACACCACGTGCCCCTGGCCTCTGGTTTGCGCGGCCTTCTGAGGCCACCGCCGGGGGGGGAGGCACATCCAACCGCCCTGACCACTGCTGGGCGGGGACCCCTGCGGGCCCGCGCCAAGGGTCACTCTGGCGAAAGGCCACTCTTACGCGCAGCCGGAGAGGAGGCCACTCGGGATCCCCCAGGACTGGCAGGTCCTGAAGAACGTGCCGGGCGCCGCCGCCGTTCCAGAGCGTTCCAGAAAGTCCCGAGAGCGCTGCTGAGAGCGTGTCTGGATCCACCACCACCGAGAAGATCAAGGGGCACAAGGACACACAAATAAATACACACAAATAAAATGATTCCCCATATTTTCCAATATTTTTTGGGCTTTTGTGTTCCCCCCCACTGCCTATATTTTCCCATATTTTCGGGGAAATCGACGATTAATTGTGTCTGTGTGTTTTTTCCCCTCCTGAAAAGAGAAGGAAAGAGCGCCCGTGCCCCGAGCGGCGGTTAATGGTTGATTAAGAAGTCCCCCTTGGCGCAGGAGGGGAGGATAGCGAGGAGGGAGAGAGGCACAAGGAGGGGCAGGAGGAGATAGGAGAGAAGCATGCTAGATGCGCTCGCGCCTCATCTGGCATCCCCTCCCTCCCTCCCGTCCCTTCTCGTGGCGCTGAGTTCCTCTATCCACGGGCGCGTGTCCCAGCTGACCTGCGACTCCCAGAGAAAGTCCACTTGATGAAATGCGCAAACAGAAAGTGGGAGCTGCGTGCACAGGAGGAGGAAGTGGTGAGAGCATGAAGATGAGCGGGAGAAAAAGGCTGAGGACGAGCAGCAGCAGCAGCAGCAGCAGCAGCAGGAAGTCAAGCAGAAAGATCGGGAGGAAAAGGGGGACCAGGGAAAGGCAGAGGAGTTGAAATGAAGGGGGCGACGACGTTGAAGAAAGACTCGGATTCAGAAAAGTGGCCCGCGCTGGGGCGATACGAACACCAGCAGGAACTTTAGTGGAAGGCGCTGCAGGAACAGGAGGACCAGGGGAAGGCGGACGAGGGGAAACGAGGGGGGGGGGGGGCAACAATGAAGCAACACTCTGATCCAGTTGAGTGGCCCGCGCTGGGGCGATAGCGCCATTCTGATCGACGGGAGCAATGCGCCGATCCGAAAATGAATTTTGAAACACCGAAACAATCGGATTGCAAAAGACACCATACTAAACTCACAACAGCAGCAGCAACGACAACAACACCACCAACACCAACCACGGCACCAACACCAACACCAACACCAGCAACAACACCACCACCACCAACGATAACACCACCAACAACACCACCACCAACAACAACACCACCAACAACACCAACGCCACCACCAACAACAACACCAACACCAACAACATCGCCGACATCAACACCACCAACAACACCACCACCAACAGGAACAACACCACGACCAACACCAACAGCAATAACACCACCACCACCAACGACAACCGCAATAACATCAGCACCATCAGCAACACTAACAACAACACCATCAACAACACCAACACCAAAACCACCACCGACAACACCAACAACAACACCGCCACCAACCACAACAAAACCAACTTGTGAACTCATCTGTTAAACACAGCACGCGAAGGTGGCGGGAGATCTAGGCAGACGGGCGCCCCATGGACATGTCAGTCAGGCGATAGCCCCGATCCCAAAAGGAACTGCGGTGCATCACTCTAGCTGTAACGCATGCGAGTAAAGACGATCAGACAGTGCAAGGCGCTGACCAGCAAGAGCCCTGTTTTGAACATGAGTAGACATCCATCCATGAAACTGTTGCACACTGCTGAGCTGCTGAACATACGTGTTGACGACGTCTCACGCAACATTCCCATGTTGAGCGAATCCGCCCTCCATAGATGTGTGGCTTTTAGGTATGTTTGCGTTTCTTGTGATACGGCTCGAAGAATTACCATACTATACACTTGACGCTGTTGCGCGTTGGTGTAACAGCGTATGTGCGTGACGATGCCGCGAAATACACATATTGAAGACGGCCCGTCCTGCGACCACCTGCCCTCCATCTGTATGACTGGAAGTTGTTGGTGAGATCTAGAAGAGCATTTTGAAAACCGCCATGCTGTTTGAACTGTCAAGCTTCATAATCACAAATCGTGAACAAATCTCAAGCGAACCGCCAGGCCCGCCCTATCGACACGCGTGGGTGCGGCGTGAATTTACCTATGAGGCAGACAGATGGAAAAGAGAGAGAGAGAGAGAGAGAGAGAAGTCAAGATCGACCCCCCCCGTGGGTCAATCCCACCTTGCAGGGGGAGGGGAGGGAGATAGACAGGAGGAGAGGAGGGGAGGAGGCGACAGGAGTCAAGAGCGAGGCTGCCGCCCCTTGGCCACCCCCCCTCCCTTTCGCCCACCCCCCGAGAGCCATAGACCTCCACGCCCGCGTGGAAGGCACCAGTGCCGATGGGCCGGAAGAGCTCATTGACGAAGTGCACCCTCCAGCGCGCGATCGGACGTCGGCTGCCCTCGAGTACCCCTACTGCGCCTTCGCCATCGGTCGGTCGTCGGCTGACCTCCTCGAACCTCAAATACTTCGCCCTCGTCTACATCGACGCTAAAATACAATCAAAGGCTACTGAGGCGTCGACGCGCCAGGATGGCTCGGCGCTATTGGACCGAGGAGGTCACAGCACGCCGACGATGCACAGATCCGAAGGATGCAGAGTGCCTTGATTCACAGATTAATCATTACACCCGCCCCCCCTAACGTAGCCAATCCCTGCCCTATCCTGACCCAGGCCCTGTCGACACTGCGCCAATGCTAACCTGTCCCATTAAAGTTGACGTGCACAACGGCTCGGCGACACCAGTGTGTCACGCGCGCGCGTTGTAGCAAATGATGCACCAGAATAAGGCGGAACAGCAGCATGCAATGCAAAAGTACCAACTGTATCACTGATCCCTCTTCGTTTCCAATGAAGAATCTGGCCGGCGCTGAAGCGACAGTTTTGACTGCAACTCGAATGCCTCGACTACCTCGACCTCCTCGACACTACCATCGTCGACCTCGAGCCGCCTCGGCCCTCGAACATCTCCTCGTCTCCAGAGTTTGTTTAGCCTGCCCCAGGCGTTTTGCTCGGAGGTCTTCGAGATCTGAGACTTTTGTTCAGCAGCGGCGCCTCATCGAGAGCCGTGCGAGGGAGCCAACATCGCACCGAACACCTGCCCCTGACCCGGCTCACGAGCATAGGACACATGGCCCGCTCCAGAAATAGGGGGAAAACAAACCTACCTCGCTTTTGACCACCCTCGCTTCCAAGAGATACCAAACGATGCCAAATTGCAGCCTGTACTGGTCAGGCCGCCTGACGAGGAGGCGCGAGGTATGGCTTGGTTTTGCCTGGAAGCGAAAGCGGGGTAGGTAATTCACGCTCTGAAGAAACCCTGACCCCCCCAAGAATTTGCATCTCTTGGGGCGCACCCTTTACTCTCGCCCGCTTCCGCCGGCGGAGCCGCCTCCTCCTTCCGCGTCCGCCATTTCCCGCTGGCCCTCTGCCGGAACGGGAGATCGATCTCTCGATACCTCGAGGCCGAGGCCACCTCTGGAGCGCCCCGCTCGCCCCTGGCGACCAGAGCAAACCAGCACGCCCGTCTCTCCGATGTCGGGCCTCCAGAGGTCAGCGCTGGGCGCCGCGAGCCCACAGGAGGAGCAACCTACGATCGAAGGTCCATGCGAAGGCGGGGTCCGGAGCTCGGCAACCCCCCGCGTTACACAAGAAAGGGCGTCAGAGATTTTCGGTGATCTTCTGAAGGATGGATGAAAACGATACGCAACGTGTGCGCGTGCACCCACAAGTATCGGGAGACTGCGCGGAAAGCGGAGCGCCCGCGGAGTAGTGTACAGCCAGGTTCGGCAATAGCGGCGAATGGAATGATGTCAGGCCCTCTCGCGCCGCCGTACAGGGGGGGAGGATAGAATACTAATGGCGGTGGGGCCGCTGCGTGCTGTCGGGAAGTCGGTGGAAACATCGGGGGGGCTGACGCGGGAGTCGACAAGCAGAATGCGACATCCTGCTCCGCTCTGAAGGTCAACGTCAGGGGGGACTGGCTCAAGGGATGAAGCATCGAGCTGAGATCAGCGGCACATCGGCGGTAGATCGGCGATAGGCTCCCGATAGCGAATCCGAACGCTCCTGGGCGGGGCGGGGTATCGGCTCCCTTTTGGCGATGGGTGAGCGACTGGGGGTCGATGCGTTCCCCCCTCAGCCTGTCCCCTCCTAACGTTGCCGCTGATCGTCAAGGCCACTCGTCGTCGCTGCCGCGCGTAAGGCTCCTGGCGTCCCCACTCACGTCGTAGATGTGAAGAAGAACGGGCGCCTCCGCCTGCGGGCGCGTTCGCTGGCTGAGGGGAGGGGGCAAGTATCACAATGAAGCCCTCATGCAGAATGAACCCGGCGCGGCCCCAGATGAGGCAATTCGTTTCGCTGACGGCAAGCTTAAGACAGCCCAAACATAATGATGACAGCAAGCTGGAGCTCAAAACAAACTCAAACCAAAGTGTGGTTTTGCGTAACGTTCCCTTGATTTGCTGGGCATTGCCCTGCTGTGCTGTGCGATGTTGCAAGTGTGGTGCATGTATGCGCTCGGCTTACGTTGCACAGTTTTGAACTGTGGTGGGCTGTTTGTATCTGATGTGCGTTGCGTTGCCCGCTCGCTATGTGATGCGTTTGATCTTCATTATGCTGTGAAATGCCTTGGAATGACGTGCGGCGTATGGCAACTCATTAAAGCACCATGGGTTGATTTGCGTTGCATCGTATCCCGCTGCGTACCCACTGCAGCTCTCCAACTAGGCAAAGCAAAACGCCAGGCAACGCAATGAAAACCAGCGCAATAAAGTGCATTACAAAGCAACGCAATGTAAATCATTTCAACGACGCGGTGGAAAACATAGACGTATAAAGTTGCGAAATGACAACCGCCACCGCGCCTCTGGGCATGGAGTGGGCGTGTCCTCAAGTCCTTTGCCCAATCCCCTGAGCCTCAGTCCTCAGTCCGAAGGAGTCCTTAAGCGGACCGGGACCCAAATTCACAAATCTCCGCGGGCTTGCCGCAGCTCCTCTGGGTTCCGGCGAGTGTTCTCGCATGATTTTTCCGGACCCTCGAGGGCCCCAAGACAGGCCAAGGAACTCCAAGAGACGTCACAGACGGCCCAAGAGGGCCCCGAAACGCGCAAAGATTGCTCCAAGACGCCCAAGTTGGCCCCAAGACGGCCCGAGAGGCCGGCAAGATGGCCCAACAGGGCTCCAAGAGGCCTCACCAGAGGGCCCGAGATGCAATTTTTTCCGGGGGTATTTGAAGGATTTAGGGGTTCTCGCCTTTACGGCTTCCCGACGCTCCCAGACGGCCATAACGGCCCCCAAGACCGCCCCAAGACGGCCCAAGAGGCTTCCAAGAGGGCCCCACAATGGCCCAACAGGGCCCCAAGAAAACCCAAGGGGCACCCAAAACTGCCCGAGAGGACCCCAAGACGGCCCCCAAAAGGAAAATTACTCCGACGGAAGAACCCCACATAAGAATCCTCTGGGCGAATCTGGAAAAAGCCATCACCGTCGTCCTCGTGGTTGGTGAGGCGTCCTGGCTGTCTCTTCTGCGTATATTTCCTCTCGCCTTGGCGCGGGCCCCCCTTCCACTCCTTACGTTGTCCCCATCCTCGCCCCCCTGTTTGTTCCGCGCCCCGCCACCTCCTCCCCTTCCTGTTGCATGAGCGCGCATGTCGATGTTCCTCGGCGCCGTCGCCGCCACGGCCAGCGCAGGCGCGTTCTCTACTGGTCACGTCGCGCAGCCGTTGGGACAACCCCGCGGGCCAGGCTGTCGGGACAACCCCGCGAGCCGTTGGCGCGCAAGACCAAGCCGTTGGGACAACCCCGCGGGCTTCGAGCGAGGCGCAGCCGCGCTCAGGCGGAAGGCAGCACGAAGCCCAGCTCTGCCGCGAGCTGCTTCGCCTCCGCCCTGGACAAAACCGCTCTCTTGTCGAACTCCAGGAGCGCCTTCCGCAGGGACGCCGGCGGCCCGCACTCCAGGAACTCTCGCGGCGGCGGCCGCAGGATCAGCATGTTCCGCATGCACGTGGCGCGGGAGAACATGACGTAGAGGTGCAGCCACCACTGCTCGTCCGACATGCCCGTGCGGCCAGCGTCCTCGTCTCTCGCGCAGTCGATGGTGACGCCCTTGCGCAGCGTCTGGCCCTGCGACAGCGTGGAGGTCAGGTAGGACGCGTGCGTCAGGGTGAACCCCGAGCGGCGCACGCTGTGCGCCCCCGAGCTCTGCCATGTGAACTCCCTTTCGCTGGGCCTGAACATCAGCAAGCTCCGCGCCCGCGCCTCGATCTCCCGCCTGAGACTTCCTCCCAGTTCACTCACAGACGAAGCTCCCGCCTGAGACTTCCTCCATATTCAGGCTTGAGGAGCCCAAAAGTGACGACAGTTACAGGGTTCCGATGACATGACCTGCGGGCCCCATAGGGAGGGAGCTCCCGCCTGAGACTTCCTCACAATTCACTCAGAGACGAGGCTCCCGCCTGAGACTTCCTCCAAATTCAGGCTTGACGAGCCCAAAAGTGACGACAGTTACAAGGTTCCGATGACCCGCTCGGATTACCAACATGATCTGCGGGCCCCATAGGGAGGGGGCTCCCGCCTGAGCCTTCCTCAGAATTCACTCACAGACGAGGCTCCCGCCTGAGACTTCCTCCAAATTCAAGCTTGAGGAGCCCAAAAGTGACGACAGTTACAGGATCCGATGACCCGCTCGGATTACCAACATGATCTGCGGGCCCCATAGGGAGGGAGCTCCCGCCTGAGACTTCCTCCCAATTCACTCACAGACGAGGCTCCCGCCTGAGACTTCCTCCAAATTCAAGCTTGAGGAGCTCAAAAGTGACGACAGTTACAGGATCCCGATGACCCGCTCGGATTACCAACATGATCTGCGGGCCCCATAGGGAGGGAGCTCCCGCCTGAGACTTCCTCCCAATTCACTCACAGACGAGGCTCCCGCCTGAGACTTCCTCCATTTTCAGGCCTGGGGAGCTCAAAAGTGACGACAGTTACAGGATCCCGATGACCCGCTCGGATTACCAACATGATCTGCGGGCCCCATAGGGAGGGGGCTCCCGCCTGAGACTTCCTCACAATTTACTCAACGATGATGAGGATGAGGATGATGAGTGGTGGTGAAGATGAGTGGTGGCGATGATGATGTTTGAATGAGGATGATGCCGATGCCGATGATGATGATGATGATGATGATGATGATGAGCGTGTGTTCGAGAGTGCGAGTGATGATGATGATGAGTATGTGAGTGACTAAGCATGTGAGAGAGCATCATCGATGATGCTGATGAGGTTGATGATGAGAGAGTGTGAGTGAGTGTGAGTGTGTGTGTGTGTTCCTGTTCCTGCGCGGGGTGTCCAGAGAAAACAAGAACCCCACTTTGGATGTGGGGAAAAAAAGGGCGTAGTTTCCTGCTTCAAAAGCACGAATGTAGATCGAACTGTGAAGCGTCCCAATGGATACGTGCCGGAGCACGACCCAGAGGAAGCGCACGGGAGTGCGTCCCAGTGGATACGTGCCAGAGCACGACCCAGAGGACGCGCACGGGAGTGCGTCCCAGTGGATACGTGCCAAAACACGACCCAGAGGAAGCGCACAGAGTGCGTCCCAGTGGATACGTGCCGGAACACGACCCAGAGGAAGCGCACAGGAGTGCGTCCCAGTGGATACGTGCGGGGGCACGACCCAGAGGAAGCGCACAGGGGTGCGTCCCAGTGGATACGTGCCGAACACGACCCAGAGGAAACGCACAGGGTGCGTCCCAGTGGATACGCGCGGGGGCACGACCCAGAGGAAGCGCACAGGGGTGCGTCCCAGTGGATACGTGCCGGGCCACGACCCTGAGGAAGCGCACAAGAGTGCGTCCCAGTGGATACGTGCGGGGGCACGACCCAGGAGGAAGCGCACGGGAGTGCGTCCCAGTGGATACGTGCCGGGGCACGACCCAGAGGAACCGCACGGGAGTGCGTCCCAGTGGGTACGTGCCGGAGCACGACCCAGAGGAAGCGCACAGGGGTGCGTCCCAGTGGATACGTGCCAGGGGCACGACCCAGAGGAAACGCACAAGGGTGCGTCCCAGTGGATACGTGCGGGGGCACGACCCAGAGGAAACGCACAGGGGTGCGTCCCAGTGGATGCGTGCCGGGAATAGCGTTCTGGGAACACGACGAACACGAAGTGGCCTACAGTTGGCTCCTCGCAATTCACTCAGAGACGAGGCTCCCGCCTGAGACTTCCTCCAAATTCAAGCCTGAGGAGCCCAAAAACTTCCTTGTTGCGTCCAAAATGTGGCCTGGGAGCTGCGTTCTGGTAGCGCGAGAACCCAAAATTTACGACAATTACAGGTTTTGGATGACCCGCTCGGATTGCCAACATGATCTGCGGGCCCCATAGGGAGGGGGCTCCCGCCTGAGACTTCCTCGCAGTTCACTCACAGACGAGGCTCCCGCCTGAGACTTCCTCCATATTCAGGCTTGAGGAGCCCAAAATTGACGACAGTTACAGGGTTCCGATGACCCGCTCGGATTACCAACATGATCTGCGGGCCCCATAGGGAGGGGGCTCCCGCCTGAGACTTCCTCACAATTCACTCAGAGACGAGGCTCCCGCCTGAGACTTCCTCCAAATTCAGGCTTGACGAGCCCAAAAGTGACGACAGTTACAGGTTTCCGATGACCCGCTCGGATTACCAACATGATCTGCGGGCCCCATAGGGAGGGGGCTCCCGCCTGAGCCTTCCTCAGAATTCACTCACAGACGAGGCTCCCGCCTGAGACTTCCTCCAAATTCAGGCTTGAGGAGCCCAAAAGTGACGACAGTTACAGGTTTCCGATGACCCGCTCGGATTACCAACATGATCTGCGGGCCCCATAGGGAGGGAGCTCCCGCCTGAGACTTCCTCCCAATTCACTCACAGACGAGGCTCCCGCCTGAGACTTCCTCCATTTTCAGGCTTGACGAGCCCAGAAGTGACGACAGTTACAGGTTTCCGATGACCCGCTCGGATTACCAACATGATCTGCGGGCCCCATAGGGAGGGGGCTCCCGCCTGAGACTTCCTCACAATTTACTCAACGATGATGAGGATGAGGATGATGAGTGGTGGTGAAGATGAGTGGTGAAGAGGATGATGATTGATTGTGAGTGGTGGTGGCGATGATGATGTTAGAATGAGGATGATGCCGATGCCGATGATGATGATGATGATGATGACGATGATGATGATGATGATGATGATGATGATGATGATGATGATGATGATGTTCGTGAGCGTGTGAGAGAGTGCGAGTGATGATGATGATGAGTATGTGAATGACTAAGCATGTGAGAGAGCATCATCGATGATGCTGATGAGGTTGATGATGAGAGAGTGTGAGTGATTGTGAGTGGGTGTTTGTGTGTGTTCCTGTCCTGTTCCTGCGCGGGGTGTCCAAAGAAAACAAGAACCCCACTTTGGATGTGGGGAAAAAGGAACACGAACCGAGTCCCCGACCCCCCTGCCCCAAGAGGTCCCCGCGAGGCCCGAGGACGCGCCCAGGCCCAGGAGGCCCCAAGAGGCCCCCAAGGGGCCCAGAAGAGGCCCTATAGGCTTCATCCCCGCAGCCCAGGCACGGTGGCGGGATGGGCCGAATCCCAATCGACCTGGGCCGGCACGGGAACGGAAAGAACTCTGCAGGAACGTGCATGGGATGGCGCATGGCACTTTTCGCTCTTGGGAGCCTTAGCATTCAGAGCTTGTTGCGTCAGCGCTCTCTGTTGGGAACCCTGATGTTCACAGACTTTTACGTTGCCGCTCGCTCTTGGGTGCCTTGTGAGTAAGAGTTTGTCACGTCACCGCGCTCTGGCGAGCCTTGGTCCTCAGAGCTTGTTACGTCACCGCTCGTTGTTGGGAACCATGATGTGACTTGGCGTCTCCAAGGCTGCTTGGGAGTCGTTTGGGGGCCCTGGTTGGGCCGTTTTCTTGGAACGCAAAATATACAAACTACCTGGCTGTAAAGTGGTGGAAGCCATACCTCCAGCAGTTAATCGGTTTCTGCCATCGCAGCCCAGCTGACTGTGCCCCCAGCAGGTGAGCCGCACGTGTAATCACACACAGAAAAAGCAGCAGCAGCAGCAGCAGCAGCAGCAGCAGCAGCAGCAGCACCAGCAGCAGCAGCAGCAGCAGCAGCAACTCGAACCAAGGCCCTGATCCCACGCGGCTTGCGCCGTATGGTACTTTCGGTAAAGAACTCGGAGCCGAGCTTCCACCAACTGATTCGGCGGCAACGTCGCACCGAGCCTCCAGGCATTGCGCAGAACGTAGAACGCGTCACACATACCAGCAAGACCGATATAGGCTTCGGGGCTGAGGCGAGGCGTCAAATCCGAAAACCAATCACGTCCATGGTCAGGGGGCTCACTTCGGGCCACTGGTTCCAACATCACACGTATATGCGGCCGCGCAGCATGGTGTCGCAAGCAGTTATCATATCCCATCGCGCTGCAACCATAAAGACATCGCCTCGCCGCAGACCTGACGCGAGATGGCGCGCACAACCCTCTACAAACAATCCGAGCCTGGTTCGCAGCAGTATACAAACTGGCGGTGCGGCTGACTCTCTGCAGCCCCCAAAGCATGTTAGGGAGGACGCCGAGGGCAACCTCGGGGGGCGACTTGTCGACCCTAGATTTCAACGCTGCAATGACCGACCGCCCAGGACGACGACGCATGCGAGTGAGGCATGCACACAACTTGCGGTCAACAACGTTTCGCGGAACCGTCGGTGGGATATCAAGGATGACAAAGATCATATACACGTGGGCCGTCGAGATCTGATACGCGATGCACCCCTTCCGCCATCCGCGGAACCGTCGCGCAATGCGACGCTCATCAGGTATCGTAAAGGCACGGGGCCTGCCGCGCTCCACGCGAAAATCAAGGCGGCGCGTTGCGCGACGGGCGCGCGCAGCAAGACTGACGCGCGGCAAATGCTCGATGCCCATCCCCCCTCCGCGCAGGGCAGGTCTTCCCAGGAGCTCGCGAAGCATGGCGTTCCAGGGGCCGTCGGTCAACAGCTGCGCACATCGCCTGTCGGCAACCGTAACGTAAGCTGGCGAGAGAGCGGATATAAGTGCAATGTCTGTTGCAACAGCGAAGTGCACAGCCCATGGAACGTCCGAACCGCGAGCGGTAGCCTCGACCCCCAATCGCGAGCCTCCCCATCAAGCCCAATCATCACGCCCAGAGCTGCGCAAACCGCGGCCCGAGGGAAGCCGCCAGGTTGCGAATGTATGCCACCGTGGCATCGCCGACAATCAAGAGGACACATATACCATGTTAAACGCGAGCACGATCGGGCCCTCCACAGAATCGCAAGGTCCAGAATCGGCCTCAGGCCCGTGACAGCACCCGGGGTAAAACGCAGTTAGATCGTCACAGCAAGCAAACAGCCGATCCATTTGTTGGCAGCCATTGTGTAACAGTCACTTCAGACCAGGGTCAGTGGCGAGCGTCAACATGCACGTGCTCGAAAGATCACCCTGCGCCACCCCCCTCCAACAGCAATCGAGATACCTAAGATCATCCATCTCATCGTAATGGGCCCAGTGTAGATACCATGCAGGGCAGAGGAGGAAAAAAACGAGTCTCGCCACAGGTACTCCCATCGTCACGAGCACCATGATGACCCCAACGCTGTGGTTTGACGGGAAGGCAGAAGCAAACTCAGAAATGAGCTGCAAATTAGTTTGAACACCTTCAAAATATTGCAGGACCCCCTCCCCCCCCACCACCACCACCACCCGTCGGCAATCGCGATGTTAGATGAGATCCGACGCCCTTTTCACCCCGCCTCTTTGATCCTGATGAACCGCGGGCATGGCAAGTGCGTTAAGAGGCGCACCACATGCAAGCGATATTATCTTCACACCGGGCTCACAGAGAGCAGGAGGACTCGTCGACTCAGGCCCCCTCGCGACACCGCGCACCGCGCCATGAGGGCTCGAACCCTTGGGTAGGAAGAACAACGGCATATCATGCAGACTCCCAAGCCTAAGTATACAATGGTTATCATACAATTCCTGATGTAGGTCGTATAGTTACTCAATTTCCACCTTCCACTTGCCAGGCAGCAAATCGTAGACTGGCCCCCCCACGCGCCGTGCTCCGCCGCCACTTTGCACGCTGCTCGCAAACTTCAAAGGTCTTCCGCTCTGGCTGCTCGGCGGGATTTCTGGCCGCGACCCCTGCCCCGCGGGCGCGGCGCGAAATGCCCCCCCCCCCCCCCCCAGTGTTCCGCAAGCCTTCTCCCTGCATCATCGACGCTGGCGCAGACGGCGCCGTCTCCGTCGCGGACTCCAGACCGAGAGACGCGCCGACGAAACTGCGGCCAAAATACTTTGCACCGGCGGAGATTCTTCCTGGCGCGCCCCCTGCCCTCCTCACCCTCGCCGTGGCCATCTCCATTTTGCCCCGCGCCCCCCCCCTGCCCTTTCGCGCGCTCGCGGGCGGCGCGCGGGCGCAGCGGCGACTCTGCATCAACGCAAGCCGCCCCTTCCAAATCGAAATGCCGCCCAATCGTTGGGCGGGTCTCCAAGGCCCGAGCGCGCGAGCAGAACTGCCCGAATCGCACCCCCCCCATCGCGCCCATCGCCCAATCGTGTTTCTCAGCGAGGGGCTCTGCAAGTCGATTCCAATTCGCAAGCCGCACTTCTGGCAGAGCGGCCTGGGCCCTTTCCTTCGCGATCCCAACCCTCTCCGAGGCAGGCGCGTCGGCGGGGGGCTGCTGGGTGATGCGACCGGCGGCCGACCAGCGCTCTGGCGCGCGGCGAAGCCACGCATGGGGCACTTCGCAATCAACGAGGATCGAACCATTCAATCGACAAAATCATTGGGCGATGATCAGGGGGGCAATCGATCGAGCGCGCCGTGAACAGTCGTCGTCGCAATCAAATCGGCGAGGATCGCGCTCGGTGCATCGCCGCAAACCCCGCCCAACCGAGATGCGCGCCTGGCCGACGCCTCGACGTTCCAGCCGGGCCGCGTCAGTTCGTGCTGAGTATTCTCGCGCCACCGTTCATAGGTGCGATGAAACTGCTCATGGTGCTGCCTGCCCCCTTCGCCCCACCTCTGCCCGTCCTCCGCCATCCGACCCTCGCCCCGCGACGTAGAATTCTAATCCCCCAGCGCGAGGTTGAGCGACTGTGCGCCGCTGGGCAGGCAGGTCGCGATGCACCGCAGAGCCCGCACAATGCCGTCAAAGTGCTGTCGCAATCGTTCGCTGGCGGCTGCGGCCGCTCACCCAGCAGCAGTGGCAGGTAGAAAACTGGCGTCGATGGCTGATTCACTCAGCCCGCGTAACAGCGCAACCGCCCGCCCGCCCCCCCCCCCCCCGCCCCCCCCCCCCCCCCCATGGCCATGGCATTCCTGGAAACAAACCACGTCGCATTTGTTGCACAGCCCCAAAGCATAAACGCATCTTCTTGCGCACATTGAACTGCCCTCGCGGATTCGACCAAAGAGCCCACTGGCGCTCCAAGCGCAGACCGTCGCAGGGCAAGGGGGGGGGGGGCTGCGCGACGCGCCTCGAACACCAAAAGAAAACCGAGCGGGGCCCCAACAGGGTCCGCCATGGGAGACTCCGAAACTGGAACAGACTAGCCAAAATGGTAAATGAAAGCTGCGACGGCGCCGCAGCTTCCCCACTTCCACCACCCCCTGGAGGAGCAGAAACGTCTGCGGGGCGAGCTGCATCGACCTCGCTGCCGAGCAAGCCATCTGATCGAAGCGTGGCGAGCTGCGCGCGTCGAACCACGTGCGAAACTCCGTCGCCGACATCCTCGCGTCGGCTCCCTATCGGGGCCTGCGCCAGTGCACTGGCGCGCACAGCGCTCACTCCAAGCTGCGACCTGCCCCTTCAACAGGGGGCGACAAGGGCAGCCTGGGCCGCCCGCAAAGATGCTTGAATACCAAGGTTGGTATAACCAGCTTCAGTAATGGCGTGCTCGACGATGCCGCCACCCATCCTCAACTGCAGCAGCGCGCGCGGGCATTCTGGCGTGTTCAGCGCAATGATCGTGCCACCGAGGCCGTAGGGGGCCAATCTCGAACCGCCCATCGCGTCGGTGATCACCTTCCGTGCCCCACCAGGAAGAGCCTGCGCCCTTGCGCGCGGATGCCCCTCTTCACGTGGATCGGGAACGGCGCAATACCAACAGTCTTGAACACATTGCCAAGACTGTGCGCTTGATCGCCGTCGGGAACTCAAAGATCGTTTCCTGGTCATGTCGTAGGCTTTGATAATGACTCTCCATCGCGATCGGCCCGCGGAGCGCAGGGGTCACGCACTTGTTCCGCCGCTCGCTGAAGAGCCCCCCCCCTGAGTGGCGACTCAAACCCCGCCAAAATAAATCGACGCACGCTTTCCCGCGCAGCCGGTGAAGGACTTCCCGCACCTCCACCACCGTTCGGGCGGCCACCCATATGTTCGAGTTTCTTCTCCATCTGGTCAACCTGGTCCTGAACCGACTTTGCCGTCTGGGGGCGCTGCTTCAACGTGTCGATCTGCTGCTGCATGTCATTATACTTTTCATTCGCGAGGTTGCTGATATCTTCCTGTCTTTCTGTGACCACCCCTGCTGCGACATGTCGAGCGACTGAACCCGCGCGTTGAACTGCTAGATCCATGCGTCCTGCGTCATCAGCACACCTTTCATACCCCCATCTCCGTCAATATCGTCGCCTTCAAACCGTCTAACTTAGCATTGCTCGTCATGGTGTTCGTGACGAGCGACCGCATCCACTCAGGCAGGCTGTCAGGTGCCCGCACTACGCGGCCTCCATGATCACTACGGCTGCGGGTCTCTGAGTGGTTGGGGTTCTCGTTAGTCGGCCGCGTAGGCGACGGCGAGAGGCTGCCACGTCTCCCTCCACGACGTCTCGGTCGTGATGGGCTGCTGCTGATCCGCTTGACGTTGTTGTCTCTTTCCGAGCCTATCGCAGCCATCGGTGGATGGAACGGCGCGTCAGATTGAAGACACTCGTAATTAACCAATGAAAAAGGAGGGGCCACGTTGGGGAGGCAATGCCGCCTTCCGACCCACACGGCACCGCTATACTGGCCAGCTCACTCGAAAAATGTATTACTTGAGCCAAAATGGCTTGAACCAGAACGGCTACGGAGCCCTTTAAAGCCCTTCTGGGACTCTGGCAGCGTCGTGGGGCCAGCCCGGTCCCCACACCCAGGCAGCCCAATCCCCATACCGCCTCCTCAGGTCCTTTTGGAAGCCTCTTGGGGCCCTTTGGGGCTCTCTTGGGGCCGTCTTGGGGCCCTCTTGCGCATTTTGGGGCCCTCTTGGGTCGTCTGGGGGCCCTCTTCGACCGTATTCGGCCACAACGCATGGAATCATCGGGAATGTGATTCTCCCCGTTAATCGGGAGGGGAGCCGTCCTCGCGTTGAATCGCAAGAGACCAGGGAACGTTCTGGATGTCCTACCGCCGGGCCCTTGCACGAATGAGGAACACCCCTTAGATAGCGAGCGCGCATGGCAAATCATCCTGAGAGACGCGTGGGAACAACACATGAGAAACGCAAGCGGAGCCTGCGCGCCGTTCAAACAATAAACGAATCACGGGGGGGAAAAATGCAGGTCTTAACGCAGACGCATTGCTGCCGGGCGACCTGGTCGACGCTTGGTCTCTCAGCTGCACATCGTGCCATCAGGGATGCACAGAACCCAACGCCCTAACAAGGACATGCCACATACAACTGCCTGGCAGCGGGAATACCGCAAAGACGAAATGCGAAGGCTCTGCGCAAAACCTGAATACTCCTGATGCGAAATATGTGCGAACAGGGTTTACATAATTAGCAAGCGTCTAGCAAACACTCCTCGGGCGAAGCTCCATCCGATGCGTCTTTGAAACCTCAAGATGGCCCCAAGATGCCCGAAGAGAGCCCCAAGAGGTGCCAAAGAGGCCCCCAAGACGGCCCCACAAGCGCCCCAATACTGGCCAAGAGCCGATTCTGGTGGCCCCCGAGGGGGGCCAACCTATTCACCTCCCCCTTTTGGTCGATGGCCCCCAAGTTGGCCCCAAGAGGCCCTCCAGAGCTCCCAAAAGGGCCCCAAGAAAGCCCCAAGAGGGCCGCAAGACCCCCCAAACAAGCCTCAGCAAGACCCTAATACCCCCCACACAAATGCTAGCCTCCAGGGCCCCAAAAAATGCTAGCCCAACAATGTCGCCCTCGTTGTCCTTCTCCTCCTCGTCCTCGTCTTCGTTGTCGTCTTCCTCCTCTACATCCTCCTCATCTTCGCTGTCTTCCTCCTCCTCCTCCGTCTCGTCTTCGTTATCCTCGCCATCGTCCTCATCCTCGTTCTTGCCCTGGTCGTCGTCTTCCTCGTTTGCATCCTCCTCCAGCTCCTCCTCTTTTTCTTACTGTTTCTCCTCCTCCTCCTCGCTCTCCTCAAGAGGGTCCCAAGAGATCCCTCAGAAGGCCCAAAGAGGGCACCAAGAAGTCTCACTATTCTTGGCCTCCCTGGTTCACTCTATGCTGACACACGCCCCTTCTTCAGACATCTCCCCCAGTCATCGTTTCTGGATGGGCGACGCGACGCGTCAAGGAGTGGCAAGCACCTAGCAAGCACCCCTCAGGTCGGGAGCGGCAAAGAGGGGGGTGTCCAAGAGGGGGGGGTGCAAATCATGACCGGCGGCATGTGCGCGGCCCAGCGGGGGGGCCAGGGACGTAATCAAATAAGAAGAGGCGCCACGAAATCTGGGGAGATATCATGGCCCGCGCCATGATATCCACCCCCCCCTAGTCATCACCCCCCTCTTTTCCGCCCCCGATCAGGCGAAGCTGTGCACTCCGATCATAAGCGCCCAGGCTTCACAGCACAGCGGTGCAGCTGCAGACCGCCGAGGTCGGGCATCTCGCAGGAATGCGCGCTCGTGCCCGCAGGCAACACCTTGTCTGAAGGGGAACTGGGACACACAAATAAATACACACAGATAAACATATTCCCCATATTTTCGCATATTTTCTCGGTTTTTGTCTTCCCCACCACTTCCCATATTTTCTTATATTTTCCTGGGAGTCGACGATTAATTGTGTCTGTGTGTTTTTTTCCCTCCTGATTGTCGCCAGGCGAGCTCGCGGCGGTCGCTGCGTACATGCAAAACGCATCACACAGCCAGCCGGGACAAGTACGAATTGCACGTCGGCAGATTAAAGATCTTACATGCAAGCGGGATCCGCACGGTGAAAGGCTCCATAGGGACGATCCAAGTCGATACACCACGTTGAGGATGCGCGCATGACAAATAAACTGAGCAAATGCATGGGCCTGGCCGCGTGTGACTTTCGCACGATCCAGCCAACGTGAGACAATCGGTCAATACGGCTAGGCTATTGCGGCGACTACGCGTGCTCGGTTCGCCGACAATCTCAAAGCGCATAGCCAGCGTCCCGCCAGATGCTTCGCAACCATGGAGGTGGAGGAGACTGGACGGCTTCCAAGAGAGGTCCTTACCCAGACCCCCGATATCGCTATTGTGTTCACAGCGTGACCCCATCAAGAAGTCTCGACCCCTTCCTCGAGACCGGTTGTATCCCGAGCCGCTTCTTGGCGTTCCCTGGGCCTGGTAGGGGACCACAGGCAGAAACTTCTGGCGGCAAACTCGACGCGAGGGGAGCACAAGGGACTCTACGCACCTGTCTTTCTTTTGCCTCTCCTTTTCCAAGGCGGCCCCGCCGCAGCTTCGCAGGCGGCGATTGGCGTCATTTGGAGGCACCGTGCGAAACCAGGCGGCACTCGCACGTGTGATGTGGCCTGTCCTCAGAACTCCTTCAGACCGCAACAAAAACGTTTTGATGGCCCCAGAGGGACAAAAGCTTCCCGAGGAGGCCGACAGCGCGACTCTGGAGGTACGGTTCACAGTTGACGGCGCGTAGCAGAGCGTGGGGCCAGGGGGGGCCTTCTGAAAAGGCAAGGGGGGTCTTAGAAAAAACTGGCCCCTTCTTGCAGGCTTCAGGGACAATTTCTTAGAAAACGGGACGGCTTCCAAGAGGCGGGGTCCTTTCAGAAGGCCGCCCCCCGTCGCCCTCAAATGCTCAAGATCCACTCAAAACCGGATCCAAAAACCTTCCAGGGTCCGACGTTGAAGAGGTGGGGACGCAGATGAACGCCAGGGCGTAGTAAGAACGGAATCGGAGGTGAAGGTGGGGGGTAGCAACAGAAAGCTGGCAAGATAATAACGCTTCACTCTTCTGATGTGCGCTGGTATGAAGATTCAGCTGGCGTTATCCAATCCTGCACATTCGGCGTCGACGCCTTCGTCGCGGCCGCGACTCGCACGCAAGGCGCCTGGGCCAGGTCGACCGCCTGCAAGCTGCATTGCGCCTCGTTGGCCGCCGAGCGGATCTCCGCCGCGTAGCCCTCGCGGCCGCGGGGTGAGTACGCCGTCTCGGGGACAACGGTGCACTCAACCCCAACGGTAAGGCTGGAGATGGGGACGCGGGGCGCCCAACACTGCGCCGAGATGCCGGGCACCCTTGGACAGACCGAGGAAGCAGGAAGCGTGCGAAGGATGTCCAGAATCGAAGGCTGTGAGGGCGTCTTGCCTCAAAGGATCGCGCTGGATGCAGGTTTGTCTGCAAGGAGAAACGAGGGCGAGGAGGAGGAGCAGGCCATCGTTACCCCGCTCCCCTGGACCTCCAAGACGGCATAGCAGAGCGAATCAGGGGTTCGGGCGGAGTGTAGAGGAACTGGCAAGATGTGGGGAGAATGTATCCCCAGACGCAAGACGCCCAACTGCACCCAACAAAAGCTGACCTGGACAGTTTCCCCATGTTCGCGACGCGACGATGCCCCCCGACCCGAACTTTCGAATAGGGCTTCTTGGCCTGGATTTCGAGGCTGGTCCAGCCGCTGCAACGAGAAGCATCCCGGAGGTCCAAAACGTGTCAAAACGCATCCATAATCTCGATTCTCGACCCTCGATCGTCAAACCATCGTCCGCCTCCTCCCCGTCCCCCTCCTCCTCCTCATCATCATCCTCCTCCGCTCCTTCCTCTTCCTCCTCCGCTGTCAGCTCCCTTCTTTGTGAAGGGTGATGGCCCCGTCCAAATTGGGGCGCCGGTCGGGCACACAGGGTGGACGCAAGAGGGCGGCCATCAGCCTGTCGTCACGGTTACATAGGTCCTTTTTTGTATACCAAACAATATGAATATCGGATGTGTCGCTCTTGCGCGACCTATCTGTCGCCGCACATCGCACCTTGAGGTTTTCGGCGCGCCCAGGGGACGACCCGGGCATGCGTCGCGCCAGAACGGTGTTTATCCGCCTCGCGTGCGGGGCGGCGCGCGAACGCTGGCAAGTGCGCGACGCTTGATGGCACAGTCCGGCACCAATAGGGCGAGACAAAAAAACGCTGTCACGCGATGGGCAGAGGCATCTACTACCCGCTGACCATGAATGACGACGCGTTGTTGGGAATCGTGGGATCAGAAAACATAGCGCGGGCGCCGTCATAATGACGGGTTGTTGGTGGATCTCATCGCGGTTGCAACACGTCGCGCGTCGCTGTCGCCAGAACGACGGGTTTTGCCGGCACTGTCATTTGAAGCGCCGCCATTAATCACGAGGCGGCCCGCGACCGCCAATATTGCGAGAATTGGTTTGGAACCAGCGCTGGCAGGGTGGGGGAAAGGGAGGAGGACGAAGAGAACGGGGGGAGGGGCGAGACTAGGAAGGTGGGAGGGGAAGGGGAACGGGAAGGGGAGGGAGGGGAAAGAGGAAGGGATGGGAAGAGAGGGCGGAAGGGGGGAAAGGACGAGAGAGCGAAAGAGAGAAGCGAAGGAAGCGGAAACGAAAGGGAGGGAGGCAAGACACGGCCGTGTCTGCCTGTTCCGCGGCTTGAGCATGTCTCGCGGATGGAACCAATCGCGCGGCTTCAGCCAGAGCGGCCATGGATTGCAGGCTGCCCGGGCCAGGGTGGTGCACACAGGGGACGGTGTGCACTGGGGGACGGAGCGGTGCACACTGGGGTGGCTGGGGACGGCTGGTGATGCACACTCGGGACGCCGACCCATTGCTGGTGCACACCGGTGGTGTTCGCTGGGGAAACGGGTCCGGACGCATGCGGTGCACCCGGGGGCTGCACACCACAGACCACACGCAGACTCTCAGTGTGCACCCCTCTCGGCGCCTCCAGCGTGCACATCGGCGCTTCTGTGCCACGGCGATTTGGTAGTCGAAGCTCGACCGACGATTTGGGAGCCCCCCACACTGCGCACCACGAGGCGGGCCCCCGTGACCTGTCCCCGGGGTGTCTGGGCAGCAGGCGAGAACGACGGAAAGACGGATTGGAACCCTGCAGGGTGGCGAGGGCGCCAAGAGCCGGAAACGAGAGGGGGCAGGGAGGGAGGCGAGAGGACCGAGAGGGAGGGGAAGGAGGGGAGGGGCAGGGAGCGGATGCGAGAAGGGCGACGGGAGGGGAGGGAGGGCAGGAGGGGAGGAGAGGGGAGCGAGTGACGGGAAGAAGGGAAGGGGCGCGAAAGGCAGGGGAAGGAGGGCAAGAGAGGGAGGATTGCACGAAAGAGGACGGAGAGGAGAGAAGAAGTCTCGGCCTCTGGGTACTCTGCCGAGCAAACTGAGCCACGTTCGGCTGAACCACGACCCTTGTGGGCCTGGACCTCTCCCGGAGGTCCCCCCATCCAGCCCCGACAAAAAAACAATGGTCGTCGGGACATCGCAGACGTAGGCCAGTTCCGTGCACCGCAAATCCTAAGGAAGTGTGCGGAAGCCACAATTTGAACCATACCAATAACGGCACGGCATGGCACGGCGGAGTTGTTGCGGTCTGCACACCAAGCGCGACGCGGCACGGTACACTTGTGTGCGTTCGCCACGGCACGGCAAGGCACATCTGCTCCACTATGAAAACAAGCGCGGCACGGCACGGCAAAACACGGCAAGGCAAGGCACGGAACGGCGGGGCTGTCGACAGCAGCCACCGCCGCGACGCGAGAGGAAAGGGCGACCCTGCTGAAGCCATCGCCCGTACACGAAAACACAAGGCAACACACACATACTGTAAAAGGTAAAAGAAGAATGATCACCTGGGCAGGCAAATAAAACAAAAAAGCAGTGAACTGGCCGATGGCTTCGGAGCGACGCCCTGCAAGGCAGAACCGACCCACGGAAACCCAGCTGTATTCGCATGGTGGCTCTAAACCGGCCTGGTAGCCATGAGCAAGCGGCTTCTGAAACCGAGCCAACCGAACTGGAACCACAACCGAACGGGTCGGAACTGGACCGGTCTATTCAAACCGAACTGGTAAGCCGAGACCGGCCCCAAACCTCGATCGTCCACCAGCTGTGGGACGGACGTGTCGCCTGGCAAGCCGCCCGCGTGGCGGCCCGCCTTCACATGCCCAAGGACTCCCCAGGACCCCCCAGGACCCTATAGGACCCCCCAGGATCCCCCAAGACCCCCCATGACCTCTGAGGACCCTGCAGGACCCCCCAGGATTTCCTATGACCCTGCAGGGCCCCGCAAGACGACCCCCCAGGACCCCACAACACCACCTAGGACACCGCACGGCCCCGCAGGACCCCCCAGGAACCCGCGGGACCCCCCAGCACCCCCTCCTCCTCCTCCTCGTCCTCCTCCCTCGCCTATCTCCTCGCAGCAGCATCGACCGCCCCCGATCTGCGCCGCCGCGCCGCCGCGCGCACCGGAGGCGTCGCGGGCGGCTGCCCCCCCCCCCCCGCCGTGCCCTCCGCCCGAGGACGGGGTCCTCGTTGTTCGCCGCGAGGCTGCTCAGGGCGGCGGCGGCCTGGCAGCGCTGCCGACGGCCGAGGGGGTGGGGTCCAAGTGGCTGCACAGGGAGGCCGGCCCACCTCCATCAGGCAATCAGGGAGGAACTGCCGCAGGAGCACAACAGCCTGGACACTGGAGAGGACGATGTTGAGCTGCCCTCGAGGCCCGAAGCTCACGGCTGGAAGCTGATATAGGGCAACTGAGTAACCGATCTAAGTATCAATTCCTCCTCCCTCCCTCTCCTCGGGTTGATCTCCGTGTTCCTGGGAGAGAGGAGGGGGATGAATGAGGCGGACATCTCGAGGTGTTATCCTCGGAGAGAGGGCAGCGGCCAGGGCTCAGGGGCTAAGAGGAACACTCAGGGGGCAACTCCTCGGAGATCTTCGTGGGAGCGATCCAGGAATGTCGGGCTAGATTGGCGGGGCGAAGGGGCAAATCTACATCGGATTAGGCCGCATCGACATGAACACATTAAGCCGCCTGGACGGGGTTGAAACAGGCTGGATTAAACGGAACTGAGCGGGATAAGGCCGCATCGGCACATGGTGACGGTCTTCGACAACGGAAAGACCAGCGCCGATGCTGAAATTCGCCGGCCCAACGGCTTGTTAACAATATTTCTAGTTCGCGCGCGCGGAGCGGCCCCTGGGGGCCCCCGGACGAAAAGTACCCCGGCAAGGTCCCGAGAGAAGCCCGGGAGAAGCCACCAGACCACTCCAGGGGAGGGTATTTTTCGACACCCCTCACGAGGATCGTGGCCTCCGAGGGGGGAGCCGCAATCGACTACCCCCAAGAGCCCCCCAAGAGGCCCTGGGGGCCTCCAAAACGCCGCCAAGGAGCCCCAAGAGACTCCCAAGAGGTCCCCAAGAGGCCCCCAAGAGGCCCTAAAGAGGGCTCCAGGGCCGGCGGCATGAGCGAAGCGATTAAATAACCTCCCCAACAGTTACACCGAAGAAGACAGTGATGCGTACACACCGACCTACCTACCTACCTACCTATCTGCGTGCCTGCCTGCCTGCCATCCTGTCTGCCTGCATACATACACGCATACGTACATCATACATGCATGCATACATGCATGCACGCATACATACATACATACATGCATGCATGCTGGATACATGCGCGCATACATACATACTGTGTATAAAAGTAGGCAAACATACGCAAGTTCATGCGTGCATGCATACCTACATACACACGCGTGTATGCAGACATGCGTATATACATACATGCATGCATGTATGCATACATGCATATAAGCACATGCACTCATACAAGCCTAAGCTAAGGCAGGCGGACATACGGGCAGACGTACACACAAACACACATGCATGCACACATTCATACATACATATGCATGAGTACACCTACACATACATACATATATGCATAACTTCATACATACATACATACACACATATACACATACACGCATGTATACACACATGTGTGCAATGTACAAACAAGCATACACATATGCATACATACAAACATACAAACACACATACAGTCATACAATCATGTCTGCATACAAATACGTACGCATACATTTTATATATACATATATACATATATTATTTGCATGCATGCAAACATACAGACACACATCCATACACACATGCACACGTACACATACCAACATACACACATACATGCATACACGTATGCAGCCATACGTATATACATGCCTACATCCATACAAACATACATACATGCATGCATACATACATATCGAGAGACACACCATGTATCATGCCCGTGTGGGGCGGCTCGCCACACTGGCTGTAGTCCACTCGGGCTTCTAGCCAAGACACACCCCGGGAAAGATCTGGGGGCCGCTCTTCTGAGGAGACAGTGAAGATATGTGGAGGAGGGAGGGAGGATGGAGGAAGGATGATGCGAAAACATACTAGAGGCCTCCTAGATGGGGTCGGAGTAGATGGGGTCGGAGGATCACGCCGCATCGCTGATACATCGGCGATGCATCGGCGGTGTATCGGCAGTGCATCGGCGATGCACCGGCGTTGCATCGTCGACGTCGGCGATGCATCGGCGACGCCGACGTGGGGAAACACGGTCTCCACATCGACCCGCATCGTCGATGCATCGGCGATGCGGCACGACCCTCCGACCCCATCTGCTCCGACCCCATCTAGGAGGCCTAGACATACGGAGCAGGAGGAGGAGAAGGCCGTTGCTGTAGAAGTTCAGGCTTGGTCCGGGAAGACGAGGAGCGGAGGCAGAAGAGGTCAGGAGTAAGAGGAATAATGGGGCGGAGAAGGGAGGAGCCGGAGCGGGAGCCAGATGCCGGGCAGACAGGAGCCTCAGGGCGCCTGCAGCGTAGCAGAGGCCGGTTCTGGAACACGAGCAGAACCCAGACCTCCGACGTCGTGTTTCTTGAGCAACGTGGACCCCTGGAGGTCGACGCCATCTTCCCTGGACGGGTTTCTCATCCTGGCCCGTCTTGCGCACGGCCCGGGGGCCCCGGAGAGGGCCCTCCCAAGGGTCGAGAATGGGCAGCGGTCCTCTTGGTCCACAGAGGAGGCGGACGGAACGATGGGCGATGGAGGAGCAGGAAGCAGCAAGCACCGCGAGGGAGAACGGAGGCGCACGAGCAGGAGCGAGACGGGGACGGAACGTCGGAGGGGCGCCTGCGCCCTGCTCCCTCCCCCCTCCCTGCCCCCTGCTCCCTCCCCGCCGAACTCCCGGTCCCTGGACCGTCTCTCCCCCGTCCTTGCCCCCTCCCCTTTTCCACCCCTTGCTTCCTCTCCCCTCCGCATCCCTTCCCTCTGCACCTCTGCTCGATCCCTCCAAGCCTCATGCTCCCTTCTCGATGCTGCCCGCTCCCTCCCTCCTCTCCCGCCGCGCCACCTCCCCCGCGACGAGGCAAAGAGGGAAGGGAAGATACCCAGAGTGATCAGAGCCCAGCGTGGAGAGGGGCAAAAGGAACGACCCGCGCCCATCCCCCCCCCCGCAGCAGGCACTAGCCCCCCGACGCTGTCGAGGCGAAGACGGAGGAGGAGGAGGAGGAGGAGGAGGAGGAGGAGGAGGAGGGACGAGGCTCTTCCCTGACCCGTACCCCGTCAAGACGGCACGTGGCAGCCCTCGTCAGAGAGTCTGGGAGCACTCTGGGCCTGCGAGAGACTGCATTCCTGTCGCGGTGGGTGATTCTCCTCCAGCGCATGCCTTCCCCGCTCCCTCCCTTCCCCTCCGTAGAAGAATAGTAAGAATGCAAGTCGCACAACAATTCGAAGGCCCGACCTCTGAAAGCTTAAGCTCATGCAGTCTTTTGTCATTCGGCCCCGTCCCCTCTTCTCCCTCGTCCTCCTCCTCCTCCTCCTCCTCCTCATCCTGCTCGTCCCTGTCGAAGGCCCCTGCCCAGTCCAGCCAGCCCCCTGCGGTCAACCTGGTGAGCTGCTCGGTGCCAGACGTGCGCGGTTTGACACGAGAGAATCGGGCCCTGGGGACAACGGGCTCTGGGCCCCCCCAAACTTTGCCCAGGACTGTGCCCATCATCCGGGGAGGACGCGCTTCCTGCAAGCTCCGTCTTTCGGAGCAGGGCCAGTCGAGACAACGGAGGCACTCCCACGAAGCCAAGATCCGCTCAAACCCGGCCCCTGGACCCCTCCTGGAGTCCATCCTGATCCGACATGCGAGGCGGATCCAGCCGTGCCGACGAGAAGCCTCCAGGAGGCCTGTATGACAAGCCCGAAAAACGCCAGCGAGGGGCGCCGCTGTCTCCACTATCGGGGGCGACGAAAGGGGCGAATAGCCCTGGAACGGGCATTACACGTATTCGCCCAGGAGCCTCGCCGAAGACAGGGATCCTCGGCGCCCCTGGATACATGTATTGCTCCCCCCTGGGCGATTCGCCCCTGCCGTCGCCTCTGAGACTAGCCCCCCCCTCAGTCATCCTCCCGGCGAGCTGTCCTCGGCCCCGTGCTGCCCTGGGCAGGGCCCGGCCTCCCCTCTGACGACGCCGTCCTCGCTCTCCAGGAGGGCCACCAGCAGCGGGATGGCTCCCGAGTGCACCATCTGCGCCTGAGCTGGGAGGGGTGACCATGACACGCCGAGGAGCATGTTCGAGGATCCAGGTTCCAGGGTCAAGGTTGAGCCTCGAGGACTCAGGTTGTGGGCGTGGGTCTTCGTAGGTGGGAAGATGGGCGGCTTCTCGTGGCCAAGGCTGGATCCGCCGCGCAAGTCCTGGCCAAGATAGGCCCCAGAAGGGGCTTGCACTGCCGTGCTTCCCACCGGCTGTGTACGCCAGCATTCACTGGTAAAGCGATGCAGAGGCATGTTGAGAATACCCCCCTCGCATCCTATTTCCCCCTCCTCCTCCTCCTTCACATCCTCCTCTCCTCCTCCTCCTCCTCTTCCTCCTCCTCCTCCTCTCCTCCTCCTCCTCCTCCTCCTCCTCCTCACCGTCCTCTCATGCTCGAATCACGGCGCCGACCATCGCAACACGTCCCAAAGTGACAATCTCGGTCCACTTCCCTCTGTCATCAACACTACCGTGCTCGGTCTGACATGGCCGTGGAGGCGGAGGACCAGAGGCAAGGTGCAGACGAGCGTGTGGGGGAACGTGCTATCGACCCGTCCACCTCCCTCCTCTCTCTCTCACTCTCTCTCTCTCTCTCACTCTCTCTGTCTCTCCCTCTCCCCTTCCCTCCTAGGTCACCTCACTTCGCTCAACGCACACTCGCGAGGCCACCTTCAAGAAGGGCAGCTATCGTCGAGCCAAGCCGCGACGCGCGAAGCGCGATAATCTTCGCGCCCCCGCGGGTGACCTGTTTTTATTTTATTTTATTTTATTTTTTATCTCTCTCTCTCTCTCCTGACCCATAATTTGTCCCTCCTTCCCGCTGCTCTTCCTCGCCATCCGACGGGCGCGATCCCATAGCCAATGAAGCTTCCAACCTTCGGGAGCTCACGGACCCTGGCTCACAATACGTGCGCCATTACGTATTTCGTCTTCCTGTTTTTCCGCGTGCCTTTGTTGTTCTCCGTCCTCTTCTTCAACGCCCGGTGTTGACCAATCCGGGCAGAGCAACCTGTGACAATTATTGCCCGGCCATCCCAGGGGGCCCACTACTTCATGATGCAGTTTTTCGATGGCGTCGACATAGTCAGCGCTGGCATCGCAAGAGGCTGCTGCTTGCGGTGTTCCTCTGTGCCCGTCGCAAGTACTTCAGGAATCCGCCGAGGATGTTGACGAGCGTCAGCCTGGACCCTTGCCTCGACATGGTGATCAGGTCACTTGGCCTCGACCAGTTGCTGTTGAGAGGAGGACGCGCAACTGGCTCCATCAAGTTCTTTTTTGTCATCACCAGGGCCACTAGCCCTGCGGCTCCATAGCTGCTTGAACAGCGCAGGCAAGAGAGCAATGCGGATGCTGCGGATTACACTACAACGTCGACGCAACAAGACAGGGCCTCAACTCGAGGATAGGCCGGTACGTCCAAAATTAGAAATAGTAGAGGGAAACGGAGAGAACGAGGAGGAGAAGGACGAGGAGAACGGGACACAAAGACCACAACACCTGCTGAGATATTGGAATGCACAGCTCAAACCGAGTTTGAAAACGGGCTGCGCTCCATTCAAGCTGCCAGAGGACAGCGCATTTGCTAAGCGCGGGACATGTTACAAATAAAGAAGCCGGAAAGCAGCGGCAGCGGCGGCACGGCAAGAAAGGAGGGGGGGGAAGATGAAGGGATAAACAGGCGACCTGCAAAACTACATCTCGACTAGGCGCGAAACTCGCTGCCTGACAAGCTGTCCCAAACTGGAGTGCAAGCACTGAGCGTAGCCACTATTGGTCCAGCCATGGGGCCGCCGCATACGGGGGGGAGCGAGGACGAGACAGGCAGAGGAGGCGGAGAGCCAGCCCGCCCCGGCAGGGCTAGCCGGCGCCCGCGCCTCCTGGAACTGGCTCCATCCTATTCTCTTTGATGATCGATGCGCCACGCAGAGAAGCCGTGCCCGTACACTGGCATCCTGGACTTGGGGACAGTGTGCGCTCCTACCGCAGAGGCTCCGGTTGCGACCGTGCTGGCGGGCCTGATGAGCATCGTCGATGGCACGTCGGCTGGCCATCAAGGGCGTCCTCAGGCTTCGTTGGGAAATGGAGCAACGCCGTCTCCGTGCATGGGCTCGGGGTGTCTTTGGGCGCTTACCTTCTAAATGGTTGAGCGCAATCAAAGGACTGACTGTGCGCTGGCATCTTCCACTCCGCCAGACAAGCGTGTGAAGGTCCAGCAGAAAATTTGACTTCGATCATCTGTTGAGATCGCACGGTGGTGTTTACTTGGGCAATACATCCCTATGCCGTCGAGCTGTTCCTGGCGTTGGCGCGCGAGTTCAGGAACCCCTTGGTTGTTTATTCCACCCGTGCCAGGGAGCAAGACATCGTCCCCGATATGAGGTTCTTCGCCGGGCGCTGGGCTCGCTGTTCTTCATCCCTCTGATCTTCGTCCAATCGGAAAATGGTGCTGTGTATTTCGAGAGCCGGGCAATTGGTGAAGCTGCGCCGTCAACGAATGCCGCCGACCGTTCCGAGAATGCATGGCCTGCTTCGCAGTCTTCTTCTTCATCAAAGATTTCGGAATCGCCCGCGGCGTCGGCCATCGTCGTGGATACGACTGAGGTCGTTGTCGACCCGATCCCCGCCTACGATGACGACGTCTTCAGCGTTGGCACAGACTTTGGTGTGGCGGACTGCGTTTCCTTCGGTCTGGCAGCAACGGACGCGCCGGACATGGCGTGATCTACTGCCTGGTACTCTGTGGGCCCGGGGTCCGTTCGGTTCGGTTTATCGTCGCCAGCAGCATGAATGGCATGCGGTCTCAGGCCAGATCGGCCCGCTGTTCCTGTACGACTTCAACCGCGTGGGTGTACTCCTTGCGTGGATGGCGTGCATGCGACCGTCCGTTGGAGTGCAGAGATGGCCCAAGCTGGAGTTGGCAGATCTGTCTCTTCGTGCTGCAGGGCCAGCCCCTGGGGTCTTGGTGTCAAGTCACAGAGTCTACGCCGCACTTTTGGGCCTGGACCGCATGATGCGTTGTGAGGGGGGCTTCCGTCTCTTCGTGTGCCAATGGTCCGAGTTCCTGCAATTCGTAGGCGGCCGCATCATCGAGAACTTCTACGCCGGAATGTGCGGTGCGCTGTCGCAGATACGCATTGCGGGCTCCCGGAAATGGATTCACAGCCGCATCCTTGTGACGTACGTAAAGACACCTGTGTGGAAGGACCGCGTCTCGGCCCCGAAATTTTTCAGGCTCTACCCCATGGGGGTGCCTACCCCGCCGTCGTGTACTCCTGCTTCGCCTTTCCGGCTCCGAGCTCTACCAGGGTGTTGGCGGCTTCATGTGTTGCGGCCTCATGTGTGGGTGTGGGCTTCATGTGTGCGAGCTTCGAAGCTCACTGTCGTCATGGAACGCGAGTGTTCGGCTGAACCCACAACTTATCTCACGGGATGCTTCGAAGATCAAGATGATTTCTTACTACATTCACTTGGTTGACCCTGCCACGCCGCCGGAGTGGCAGGAGATGGAGGACATCATGAAGTTGGCCTGCGACGTCGGCGACGACGACATCATCGTGGCGGGCGACAAGAACAAAGACCAAGTGTAGCGGGCCCACGTCCCTGACATGCTGCGCTACGTCATCGCGTCCGTGCTAAAGGACAAGGCGTGGCGCTACGGGCCAAGACTTGTCCGTGTCCCAACTCAAGGCCTGGACATGGGCCCGAGCGTTTGCGCCATCGCCTCCGTGGCTGAAGGGGCGACGGCAGCTGCCGCCCCCCAAAGCCCCCACCGCGGCGCCCTTCGTCTCCCCGCTTATCAAGGAGAAGTGTTTCGGCACATCTGGAGCGCCCACATGCTTAAAGGGAAATTAGGACACACAAATAAATACACACAAATAAAAATATTCCCCATATTTTCCCATATTTTCTGGGTTTTTGTCTTCCCCCCCACTTCCCATATTTTTGCATATTTTCCTGGGAGTCGACGATTAATTGTGTCTGTGTGTTTCTTTTCCCCCTGAATGCTGCAAAGAAGGCCACTCGTGCGTCCGCCGGGTGGTCGACACGAGCGGGAGCCCCGGCGCAGTGGGTTGTCGATGTCTCGGACGAGCGGCTCGCGGCCTCATCCACGTGGCCAAGCTCGGCGTCGAAGCCTTCGAGACTGGCCGGGCGGCAACTGCCTTCGAAGACGCCGTCGCGGATCTGCCTGCGGCTGTCTCCGACGAGCGCCAGAGGTGCGGCGACTCCAAGGAGCCGCTGTCCGTGGTGGTCGGGGATGCCGACCAGGCGTATGAACAGTTCATATCTCAAGGCATCTCGGCCGAGGGGCTGGCCGATCGATCGATCGCGGATCCGATCGGCTGGGCCCCCCTTCGGCCGAGCCTCGCGCGCCGCCGCGCCGGCGGCGTCGCGGCCGCACTGATGCCATGGATGTTTACTCCTGCGGAGGGCTGCCCGAAGGAGGCGTGGCGGCCCGCCTGGCAGCGCCAGGCAGAAATCAGATCCCTCGGTCCCACGGCAGCCCGCCGCCTCGCTCGCAGGCGGCGCCGCGACGCCATCGAGGCCTGGCTGTGCCATCATCAAGAACATAGGGACCTGAATCATCGTGACAATGGCACAGCGTCAAAATTGGAACCAGCACCAGCGATCAACGCCGCCGCCAAGTTCACAGAGGTCAAGTACGTCGTGATCGAAGTCCCCAGACGGTGCGGTCACCAGTACGACGACAAGTACGGCGTCCAGTACGGCGACCAGCACCTCGACCACGACGGAAACCAGCACGGCACTCAGTTCATCCCCGACCAGCACGACGACAGGTACGGAGTCCAGTACGGCGACCAGTACGGCGACCATTGCGACGACAGGTGCGGCGACCAGCAGCTCGACCAGGACGAGGTCGACGACGCCGAGCCGTCCGAGCAGAACGAGACTTCGGAGGACTCGAACGCGGACGGCGCTGCGACCAGGGCGTGCTGCCAGAGGAAGGCAAATATAGAGCCCGTTATCCCTATCCGCAGCTCTGGGGTCCGCGCCTGCGAGAAGCGGGAGGCGAAGATAGAACCCCAGGAATACTGCTACAAGGCAGTGGCAGCGGGCAGTGGCGCGAGCCTGCGAGAACAGGCGGTGGCGGGCAGTGGTGCGAGCAGTGGTGCAAGCCTGCGAGAACAGGCGGTGGCGGGCAGTGGTGCTAGCAGTGGTGAGAGCCTGCGAGAACAGGCTGCGACGGGCAGTGGTGTGAGCAGTGGCAGCGCAGCCGGCGGCGGGCAGTGGCGCGAGCAGTGGGCGGTGGCGGGCAGTGGCGTGCAATGGTACGGCATTTCTCGGCCTGCCGTCGCCTACCCCACGGCGGCCCTGCTGCACGCGGCAGCGGCGGAGGCCGCGCGCGCAGCCACGGCGCGCCGCAACAACAACCACAAGCAACACAGAAGGCTCCAGACTACCAGAAGGAGGACTCAGGCGACCAGAAGGAGGACCCATACAACCAGAAAGAGGATCCAGACGACCAGAGGGACCCAGACGAGCGGGCAGCGGTGCAAGCGGGCAGTAGTGCGACGAGGCAGCGGTGGTGCGAGCGGGCGGGCAGTGGTGCGAGCGGGCAGTGGTGCGTGCGGACGGGCAGTGGTGGTCAGAAGGACGTGCGTGCGGGCAGTGGTGCGAGCGGGCAGTGGTGCGAGCGGGCAATGGTGCGAGCGGTCGTGGGCAGTGGCGCGTGCAGTGGCAGCCTCTCGACGACGCCCCCCAACGACCCCGCCCGACGCCCCTCGACGACTCTCGACGCCCCCACTTCGACACCCCTCGCCGACGCCCCCCGACGACCCCCGACGACGCCCCTTACCGACCCCCCCTTGGTGGCGAAGCTGGAGCCCGACGCGATCAGCTGCAGCGCCGCTATCAGGGCATGTGGCCAGAACACGAGCGCGCGAGAAGTGCCTGATGCACCTGAGCGCGCGCAAAGCGAGAAACATTCGCGGGCATACGTGCGAGAAGAGACGGTAGTGGCAGTGGGCAGTGGTGCGAGCCTGCGAAAACAGGCGGTGGCTGGCAGTGGCGCTGGCAATGGCTGCCCCCTGCGAGAACAGGCGGCGGCGGGCAGTGGCGCCAGCCTGCGAGAACAGGCGGTGGCGGGCAGTGGTGCGTGCAGTGGCGCAAGACAGCGAGAACAGGCGGCGGCGGGCAGTGGAGCGAGCAGCGGCAGCCTCCTGCGAGAACAGGCGGCGACGTGCAGTGGTGCGAGCAGTGGCAGCGGGCAGTGGCTGCCTGCTGCGGGCAGTGGTGCGAGCAGCGGCAGCGGGCGGCGGCGGCCGGCAGCCGGCGGCCGGCAGCTGAACGACCCTCCACGTCCAGCACCTGCGTCACCCCAATGGCGTGCGGCAGCCATCGCCGCGCTCCAAGCGGCAGGATCACCCCCCCCCAACGCCTGCTGCCTCGTCGACATGGTTCTCAATAGCGCCCCCGTTTCAGCCCGCGTCAAGGCGACCCTCGCAGGCCTCGGGAGCCCCTGGCCCCAGGACGACTCCTTCGGGGCGCGCGTGCGAGAAGGGGCGGCAGTGGCTGCAGGCTGCGGGGCGGAGCTGGAGAGCCAGACGTCATCAGCTACAAGCGCCGAGCCTGCGACTCGCTCTTCCTGGGAACAAGACATTCCAATCCCCTTCGAGTGCGCCGGCGCCGCCATCATCTTCGACCAGGTAAAGCAACACATACGGTTCATAGAGCGGGCGACTGGTGAGTCGGCATTCCCCAGCTCGTCCTCGTCCCTTCCCACGATCCTCCTTCGAGCGTCAAACAAGGTCAGCAGATCCAGTTTTGAGGAGGCTGTGCGGATGACAGAAGACCTCCTCGAGCACGTCCGTGACGACGGCATCGAGAGTGAGGACGGCGAGGATGACGAGTCCGAGAGCGGCACTGATGAGATTACCCACGAGGCGAGCCCCAGGACTACTCCCGCGAGGAGGACTCCGACGGCTGCCACCACACCAACCCATACGACCAAGAAGGTGCGCTTCATCCTCGAGGCCGTGCCCGACCCCCCAGAGGACGAGATCGATCCCGATGACCCTGATGGCCCAGCCGACCACGGCGACGCCACCAGAAACACCACGCCCCAGGAGAGCGTCTCCGACGGCGTGCCCCAACACCAGCCTGGCGGCCAAGCCTCCACCCCGCGCCGACGGGAACCAGCAGCACACCTACGGGAACCAGCAGCACATCCCCGAAAACCAGCAGCACACCAACGGGTACCAGCAGAGCACCGGGCACCAGCAGAGCATCGGGCACCAGCAGGGCTTCACGGAGGTAACCAACCTGAACAGCGGCTTCCTCAACGCCATCGCCCCCCCGGGTGGTGAGCGTGCCGCCCTCCTCAGGTGGAGGAGGCTGGCGGCCACCGAGGGGGGGACAAGTTCGTCGCGTTCGGCTACCGCAGGGAGTACTTCATCTGAAGAGGCGGGGGGCGGTGGCCCCTGCCTCTGCGGCTACGCCTGCTCCGCGGGCACAGAGTCGTTATCGCCGCGGCCAGCCGGCCAGAGGCGGCAAGAGCTGGCCAGAGTGGCCAGCCAGTGCAGGACGAGCTGGAGTCCATGAGCGGCTCGGCGAGCCTCCACAGCGCTCGGCGCCGAAGGGTGGAGGTCGCCAAGGCGGGGGGCAGCCTGCCCCTAGGAGCCGGCGGCCTGCCACTCCACGCTAGGCGCAGCGGCAGCGCAGGCTGAGGGCCCACGAAGCGGCCGACGGCCTGCTGACGGCGGGCGGCCCGCCGCGCGGGCGGCCGCGCGCCGCGCCTTTTGGGGCCCCTAGGGGCTCCACCTTGAAACCTGGCCCCGTCTCGTCCCCTCTGTTGCGATTGAGGTCCTCGTTCCCCTCTTCTTTCCTCGGGGTCGGGGGCCCTGGGCCGTCGTTCGAGCGTGGGCACGACCTCCGGGGGTCGCTGCTTGCGATCCGCGCCTGGGGTTTGCTGCACAGACGCTGGCTCAGCGAGAAACGGCAGAAACGGCAGTTCATATCTTCATTGATTACTCGTGCCTGGCAGTATTTGGTCGTCTTGATTGGCGCGCGCATTCTCTCGAAAGCTGCCGTGGTAACGAAAGGGAAGAAAGTGCATGTTGTGGAAGCTGCTGACACTACCCCTGCTGGTTGGTTGCGAGGTGATACCGATGTGATCATGAGAGCGCTTACTGTGTACTGCTGGCTGAGCCTGGCTTGTGTAGCTGGGCACGCGTTCGAATTACCAGGGCTCAGGCGTCAGCATATCTGTCTTATTGACCTGTCAGGAGGAGTGTGCTGAGCGTGACTCTTCGAGGTTTGTCGAGAAAGGCTTTCCCCCTCCTCCTCCCGGGGGCTAAGCTGTGAGGTAGAGCCGATGTGTTGACGATGTGATAACGGTGAGCTCAGCTTTCCACATGTCAACAGCTTATGATGTCCAAATATCGCCAGCCTGCTCTTCAGTTTCGCCGGCGTCGGCAATCCAGTGGCTCGATTTGGAGATCCAGACGGTGGGTCAGACTGTTTTCAGATACCCGAACAATGTCAACAGAGAGTGGCTATTCGGCTCCGCTGCGCGACGCGAATCTGCGATGATCGTCACGTGGGCTGGCTTGCTGCACTAGAGCTTTGGATCAATCGACGGTTTATTTATGAATCGGATGGCACGGGTGAGAGCGATGAGACTTCTGCTGGGTTTCTCGGTGGTTTGGCTGGGCGAGTTGGTTCTAGAACTGTTCCTCCTTAGCTACCCTCTTCCCCTCCTCGAGCATGCGTCTTTCGAATGCCGTGGAGTCTCGTGGCTCAAAGAGTCCGAGTCCTGTTCCGACGCTGGGTGGCCCTTCAACGCTTGCAGTGCTGTGGACCAATGGGCGGCCGCGGGAAGATTCGCGGGGCTGATCATCCAAAACGACTCACGCTATTACAAAGGCTCTGCCGGCAAGGGGAAGAAGTACGGCAAGGGCTACGCGTACTCCGACAGCTACACCGACAGCTACAACACTCACGCGAACTACTACGGCCCCGAGGGCGGCTACTACTACGACGACGGGTGGTACGGCTACGGCTACGGTGGGCCTACAGGCAACTGGGGCAATTACGGGGCGATGGATCACATCGACGAGTCCGATTCGGCCGAGAACGACAAGGACACGAAGCTGGAGAAACAGCGCAAGCGCCTGGCGAAGATTGACCCAGAGTACGAGGCTCACATCCAAGAGAAACGCACCAAGGAAAACGAGCAGGCGTTGAGGAGCCAGGGTGAGGCCTTGGCCTCCTCACTCAAAGCCACGTTCGAGTTGAAGGTTAAGAAGATCACGACGGCTAAGCTCGCCGAGCTGGAGAAGAAGCAGGAGCAAGCTGAGGGGCCCGAGGAGCCGCCGGGTCGTCCACGACCGAAGCGTGGTGCGAAAACGGCCGCAGCCTTGCATCTCCCAGTCAACCCGCCCTCTCCCGGGCGGAGATGGGGTGGCTGCAGTCGTTGGTGGGCTCCTACGACGACGTCCCCGAGAACAAGACGTCGACGGAATTGACGACTTTCGTGGAGACGCCCCTCGCGAACCGCGTGGTCATGTCGCAGGCCATCACGCTCATCGCCTCCTCGGATGTGGACCCGAAGGCGGTGGCAATCATGAACTTGGTCCGTGGCGTCGGGTCCTGATCTTCCTGGACGTCTGACTGGGGCGGATGCAGCTCCCAGTTCCGCCGACGCTGGAACGGTATACTGAGATGTTGGAAGCTCAGTGGACCCTCAGGATGTCTCACGCGTGGGAGGCCAACATTTTTCAACAATGGGTTGATATTTCAGGTGTGGGCCTGAATTTCTACAGCCAGAACGACGCGCAAGTATTCCGGTCTGGTGTGAGGAGAGGGTGATGCGCAAAGGGATCGTGGGAGTTTGGCGCGCTCCGCTGGGTCGCGGCCCCGGGGGCATGTCTGAGCACAGTGCGTATACATCTTTTTCCATATTTTAGAATGTGTCGGGCCGCCTGCGTTAGGAGCGCCGCCTTCATCATTCTGGGTGGGATATTTCTCCCCCTCGCTCTCCTGACCCATACTTTGTCCCTCCTTCCCGCTGCTCTTCCTCGCCATCCGACGGTCGCGATCCCGTAGCCATTGAAGCTTCCAACCTTCGGGAGCTCACTCCTGGGTCAGGCAGCGCTCGAATCCAGGAGCGAGGCTTCGTCATTCGAAACAGACTTTCCCTGTCTCTTTCTCGCTCTCTCTCTCTCTCTCTCTCCTCCATTTTCCTCTCCGTCCTGGAGCCTGGACAGCCTTGAGAGAGTCCCTGCCCCCCCCCCCCGAGGCCCTCGAGAGCGCCGATGTGGGACAGAAATCGGCGCGGCCTCTCGGCGTGGAGTGACGAGTGGGGCGGGGGAGGCTGTTCGGGGGACGCGGGAGGGCGAGACCGCCCGCAGGAGCCATCGAATTTGCCTGTTGCGAGGCCTCGGCTGCGCCTCCGAGCTCTCGCCCGAGGCCCTGCGACGAGGGGAGGAGGGACTGGCGGGAGGAGCATTGGGGGGGAGGGGCCGCGAGGGGAGGAGGGCGAGGGAGGATGGGACGTCAAAGTGGTGCCCACGCTGCCACTAGGAACGCTGAGCAAGGAGCGACTGGGCTTTTCTTGCCGCAGCGAGCCCCAGCCACGAATATGTTCCTCGACCTAGATCTCAGCGACGGCTCCAAACCCAGAACACCTCCTGGACCCAACACGTTTTCTGCTCGGCGTCTTGAGTGTAGCTCTGTGTCTGGGGTCCTTCGGAACTTGTGGATTGCTCTGGGCTGCGGTCAGCCGGCCGCGTCTCAGGGGGGAAGGACACCGCGCGGCCGTGTCTCAGCCGCACGCCGCCCACGCGGCACCGGGCAGCTGCCACATTCGAATGTGACGTCGGCGGCTCGCTCGGTGTATCTCCGCGGGGGGCTGCTTCACTTCTTAGCCTCTCCAGCAGCATAACTAGCATGATACTTTGCGTGTGTTGACGTTCGTCTCGCGTTTTGTCACGCCGACCTGATTCGACAAATGCAATTCGAAGACACTGTCTAGACAGTACAACAAGTCTCGAGACGGCCCAAGCTCATGAAGACCTCAATGTTAATCCACGACGACGCGCAAGCCAATCCTGAGACACACGCCCAGATCCGCAAGACCCACTAGGATTACCTCCAAAAGGCTTCCAACATGCACCAGAGAGGGTCATCGTACCCCAGCACAAATGCTGACAGGCACCTGGGAACATACAAACATGGGCACAACTTGTTTGTTTGCAACAGGTGGGCGTCAACCCATTGGCTCGTAACCAGGTGGACGGAACTGAGGGTGGCTGCGACGGGCATGAATCGTGAGAAAAGTCGGCGCAAGCGGTGGGAAGCCATTCCCTTCGCTATAAGCTCAACAGGCACATCGACGACTTACGCGCGATACAGTAATCAATGCGCCTCTGCATGGTGCTGTCGCGCCAAGGCTACTTTTTGTCTCACTGAATACAGCGCCCGCGGCAAACCCGCTGCCTCCTCCTGGTGGACGACTCTGGCCTGCGACCCACTCGTTTGAGCTTGAGCCCATGTTGAGCTCAAGGCGATGTACAGCGAAGCTGCCGCCTAACGATATAGATACGCTGGCGGCATAGCGGCACAGCGATGTACGGCCAAAGGGACGACCACGACGGCGAGGGAGGACGGAGGAGGATGAGAGAGATTGGGGCTCATGCCAGATGAGACGGGAGCGCACCATCCCACGGAGGATCAAATCAGACGCCTGCATGGGCATCGGCTCTCGAGAGCTCTGGAGAATCATGCTGGCCTAGGGCGTGCCTGCGTACCACAGAGAGACACGGCCCCAGGGCAAGAATCACAAAAGCATTGAGGGGACAGGTCCTAAGTTTCCTCCCTGTCCCTCTGCCCACTCCGCGGCGCGCCTTGTTGTTGCCGTTGCTGCGGGACAACCGCGCCAACGCCCGCGCCACCATAGCCTTTACTATCCCGCGCTCGTCGTCGTCGTCGTCGTCGTCGTCGTCCTCCTCCTCCTCCTCCTTCTCGTCCCGACCCGTCCGCGTCCACCTCTGATGTTGCCAGGCAGCCTCTCGAAACCTGGAAGGAGGAGAAGGAGCAGGGGCACGAGCTGGAGGAGCTAGAGGGACTGGACGGGGAAGAGCACAATGGATGCCAAAGGAGCGAGGAAACGATTGAGGCACCGATCCCGGCACATGTGTCGAGGCGCGTGTGCACGTGCCCGTGTGGGCAAGGCGCGCGAGGTCGTAGCCTCTCAAACATTGTAATTATCATGATCACATGAGGTCCACCACGGTTGCGTCGCTGATTGCAACCTTGTGGAGTTATTGCCATCGTCGTGTCGCTGTTGTCGTGATCTCGTAACGTCACTGGTGCCGTGCTGCGGAGGGAGGATGCGGAGGAGGAGGAGGAGGAGGAGGAGGCGGAGGAGGAGGAGCGGGAGAGTGGGATGACAAAAGGATATCAATACCGCTCCTCCCCGAACCTCGCCTGGGGTGCATTCCGGACGGCACTTCGGGGAGAACCCGGCCGTGGCGATGAAGGCTCTCATGAGCGAGCAGCGGTGTCGGTACCCCATCCCTCCCCTCTGGCCATCGATCGGACGTCCATTCCCTGTGCTGTTTTTGATTTCGTGCGTGGTCTTTTCGCCAAATGATCAAGGACGCTCCTCGATGGTCCTCGCCGAAAGAAAAATGCACACGTCCGAGCGATGCCAGGCCTTTGAAAAACGGCGCCCATCGTCGTCGCCACCGCAGCCGCCGCCGCTGTCGCCGCCGCCGCCGTCACAGGGCGGCGGCGGCGGCCGGCGCCATGGAGCGCCTGGAGCCTCTGCGTGGGGGCGGGCAGGGCCAGGCCGGAGGCGGACACGACGTCGGCCTGGCGACGAAGGGGGCGAGGTGAGGCGGAGGGTGCGAGGGAGGAGCGGAGGAGCGGAGGAGGGGAGGGGGGCGAGCGAGCGAGACAATCACTACAGTCGGCCTTGATTGGACAAGACACGCGAGAGGACAGAAGACCCTTCAGGGAACCACGTTGCCACAGAAATGCAGGAGGCATGGGTCACAAGACACAGGACGCGAGGGTACCCTTGATCTGGCAGGGTCGACCTGCTAATCTGGGCAGCCTGTACATCATGAGCTCAACGTCTCAGTCGCCCCCTCTGGGCTTTCCCAGCTTCGCCTGTTGTCTCGGCCATGTGTGCACCGCCACAGAGTGAAAGTCCTGTTGCCGAGCGGGGGTAATTAGTCTCGGATAAAATTATTTGAGCATGCGGGGGGGGAGCGTTGGAAGGGAGGAACAGGACACTCGCTCGCTCGCTCTCGCTCTCATCCGTTCGGTTCAACTTCTTCAACTCGAGCGTCATGGGTGAACCTGGGAAGGTGCAGCGATTCACTGCGCTGAGCCCACAGCGAGCAACGGCCCCCACATCGGTGGCCCCTCCTCCTGGGCGCTGGGCGCTGATGGCTATGGTGTCGTGGTCGACGCAGCCTCCCTCCTCCTCCTCCTCCTCCTCCTCCTCCTCCTCCTCCTCCTCCTCCTCCTCCTCCTTCCTCCTCCTCCTCCTCCTCCTCCTCCTCCTCCTCGTCCTCGTCCTCGTCCTCGTCCTCGTCCTCGTCCTCGTCCCCCTGTAGGAACAGCGAGCGCTCGGAGGAGCGGCAGACGGCCGTGCCGTGGAGTGCCGCCGCGCGGGAGCCTGGTCGACGGCCCAGACAGGACAGTGGAGGGCCTCCACGGCAGGAGCGGGGGGGAGACTAGAGGGAAATTAGGACACACAAATACAGACACACAGATAAAAACAGTCCCCATATCTTCCCATATTTTCTAGGTTTTTGTCTTCCCCCCCAATTCCCATATTTTCCTATATTTTCCTGGGGATCGAGGATTAATTGTGTCTGTGTGTTTTTTTCCCTCCTGGGAGACGGGGGTTCCTCGCCCGACCTCCCCGCACGGAGGGGAGGTCGAGCGCGCCTCAAACTGGCATGTCCGAAGTGCGGGACGGAGATTGCGCGATGCCAAGCAGCGGATTTTGTCCAGAACCGACAGCGGTGGCAGTTGGGCAGGCGGCCTCCGACATAAATCGGCACCTTCGCGGCGACAGAAAGTGAAAAGTCCTGTCCAAGCTGACAAAAGCTGCTGTCCGCCTCCGTCCCTCCCAGTGTCGGCCCCTCTGACAGAATGGGGGGGGCCGCCCTGACAGTGCCAGGGCGCCTGGGGTCGGGGGATCGCACCGCCTCGGTGATTCATCGGCAAGGGATGGAACGTATCTGGTTACGTATCGCGACACATCGCCGGTGCACCGACGAACACGGTGCCCTAGCCCGTATGTGCGCGGCCCCATGGCCCTGAACCCCAAAACTCTTGACGACTTGCTTCTAAGTTTGCCGGCCTTCCGCCGAAGGGGCGTGCCACCGCTTTGTCTCTGCCGGTTTCCTCTGGCCTTCCGCCGAAAGCGATGCATTATTTAATGAAAGCCCTACTCTTAAGATAACGTCGGCGACGTATCGAGGCATCCCACAACTCATCCCTTGATGGCAGGCGAGAGGAGAGGTAAGAGAGGAGCCGTGGGAATGGAAAGTGTATCTTAGAATGACGCGGCCTTTGTCCGCGGCTAAGATCCCAATACAGATGCACATAATCGCTTGCACCTGGCATGCATGACGAAGCTGCCCTGAGCCAAGACAGCGTCGGATATAGCGTTCGCTATACAGTCTCGCCTTCAACCTCGTTTACAATTTTCCTGGAACGTCTTCTTTGGGCGGCCCCGCTCCTCCACGTTCCTGTCCCCCCCCATTCCCCGCCTCTGGCCCCGCGGGGCAGTCTCTTCCTCGATGGACCAGGTGTCAGTCGTCGTCCTCCCCTCCCCTCTTGCCCGTCCTGCTCGAATTACCGCTAGCACGAAACATATGAGCACGACTAGTACTACAACTACTAAGGTTACCACTGCTGCTAGCCACCTGATCAACCGGTAGAAAAGAAGTGGTATGGGGGTAAAGGTACGGGTTCGAGTTCGACTTCGGCGAGCAATTTCCGAATGGTTTGCCATCCGGAAATGATAGAATTGTTCGGGAATCTGGGATGGGCGCCATTCCTGGTGAAATCGAGAATCCAAGCCGTCCTCGGGGCGTACGTGGTTTAGGGAGTTGCCTCTTCCACCTCCCTTCTTCCTTTCGGGGAGGGGTTTACCCCTCCCCCCTCCCCCCCTCCCCTGGACCTGGACGGGGCCGGTCGCGAGCGGGCAGGGCGTCCAACACGGCCTCGGCGAGGAAGCCAAACTCATTGGTTTTGGCATCATGTTGGCCTCTTGGGGGGGGCAGCGCTAAAAGGAGCTCCCCTCTTCTTTGATCGATCTCTTCCAAGATGGCCCCAAGAAGCGCCCAGGACGGCCCAAGAGGTCCCAAGATGGCCCCAAGATTGCCCCAAAAGGCCCCAGGAGGCCCCCAGGAGGCCCCCAAGAGGATCCCAGCCGGCCCTAAGAAGCCCCCCGAGGCACCCAAGACGCCCAAGAGCCCCCCAGGACCGCCAAGAGACCCCCCATACGTCCCAAGAGGCCACCAAGAAACGCCCAAGAGATACCCCAAGAGTCTCCGAGAGGCATCCCAGAGACCTCTGGCCGTGTTGCTTGCCCTCCTCCTCCTGCTCCTGCTCCTCCTCCTCATCCCATTCATCCTCCTTCTCCCCACTCCCTCATCCATCCAGCCAGCCTCCTCCTTTTCCTCCTCCCTCCTTCGCACGGTTCGGCCGTCCCCCTCTCTGCTCCCGCACTTCCCTGTTCACCTCAACTCGCTTGGACATCGTTTCTGGATGGGCCGGTGGAGATGTTTGTTTTGGTCGTGGCCGCGGGCGAATGCGCACACGGCGTGTTGTAAGTCCCGGGCGCGGGCCTACTAATTGACAACAGCAAACTAGAGCCGACACCCTAAACAGCCCAAGCGGACTAAGCGGCGCCTCGCGTGAGCTGCAGCTGCGCTGAAAGTGGATGCCGGGGCCGGGAGCCGACAGCGCCCACACAGCGTCCTTGCAAGGATAGCCGTGGTTGCCAGGGTGGCTGCACTGCCAGGGGTGCACACAAGCAACACACTGCAAAGTACGGACTGCCAGGTCGGCTGGCTGCCAGGGTCTGCAAGTTGCGATGTGAATTGTAGACGTCAAGACGTAAGAGGTGCGCATGAATTGGGCAGCAGATGCTGCGGCGCGGCCACAATGGCGCGTGGGCACCGCGATGTGACCAGTGTGGGCACCTCAGAGCGACCCAAAGTACCTGCCGAGGCCTGGCGGGTGCGAGGCGGCGCCAGCAAGTCGCACACCCGACCCATGGCCAGAGGGGGCCGCAGTCCGCGGTCGATACCCCAGAATAGGCGCCAGACGCGATCGACGGCCGGAGAGTGAACACTGACACTGCAGCCGAAGCGCCGACGCGGCGTGGTGGAACCACGGAAGTGCCTAGGCTGGACCACAGGCGTCCGTGGCCTCCACCGCAGGGGGGGAGGGGAAACCGCGATTCGCGCGGGATGGGGAGGCCAGGGCAGGTGGGAACTCACATCACCTCACCGGCGAAGGAACTGGGTGCCCAACCGCGGGGGGGCTGCCCCGGCACAGCAGTGCGCCCGGGTGCGCGGGGGAATGACGCGCTAGCCGGTTTGAGACGGCTGGAGGGGGGGCGCCGACACTGCAGCCAAAGTCGAGGTCGCAGCGCGGTCAAGCCACGGGAGAGGCCAAGGCTGAACCACCGGCGTCCGTGGCCCCAACCCACGGGGAAAGTAGCGCACTTCATGTCTGTCCAGCGCAAGCAGAAAGGCGGGCCCCCAGCAGCCTCAACTAGCGAACCAGCGGCCTCCCCTTCTGTCCTCGGGAGCATGGAGCTTGCGCCTGGGTGGTGGGCTGGGATGCCGTCGCAGTCGCATGCTGCCTGCTGCGCTTTACCGCGGCCGCGTGATGGCCAGGGCTGCACGTCGCTGCTCCACACGTCTCGAAGGTACACATTTCCACTGCTGCCATGGCGACAAGTGGGGAGCGTGCTCGCGCCTGGTACGCTGCGGTGCGGGCTGACTGTGCTGCCTTCTGCCAGGGCTGTGACCATCACAACAGCCGCAAGACCAGACACGGCGGAAGGCCGCCTCAAGAGAGCGCGGAGGGAAGGGGAGGGGGGAGGGGCCAGGGAACGGCTGACGGCCGTCAGCGTCCAAGTTGCCGCTGCTGTCGACGGTGCGCAAGGGGAGCGCGTAGCTGTGGCGACGAGGAGCGCGTAGTACCCCTCCACGGAGTTGTAGCGCTGCTAAGTCCTAGGCCAGGGCTGCTCTTGGCAGGTCCACTCTCCGAACGGCACCTGTAGTCAGCTGGACCAACTGGAAGGTGTGTAAATAGCCGGGACGGGACACTGCGTGGTTAGAGCCAGGGCGGTCGGACCGCATGTAATCGCCAGGTGCATACGGCTGATGGCCGTCTCATCCTTTCCCAGTAGAGAGAGAGAGAGAGAGAGAGAGAAAGAGAGAGAGAGAGAGAGAGAGTGCCAGGGGACGGCTGATGGCCGTATGATCAATGCACGCCGGAGACTGTGAGCGTCCCTGGGCCAGGTGGCCGAGGAGGCCCGTTGCCGACCACAAATGTCTATACTGCTGGGCGGAACAGGGAGCCCTCTGGGGCACCAATCTCTCTTGTCCCAGCGGTGCCGAGAACACTGACCGTGGCGACGAGCACGTCTGCTGGCCACGCTGCCCTGAAAGTGCGTGCCGGCACGAGTATTGACCCGTACGCGGAGGCGATGCCGCCTGGTGAGACAAGTCAGGCGCTGGGGGGGCGAGCACGCCCTGGGAGCCTGAAAGCGGCTGCAGGTGCCAGCGCGGTGGACGCACACCTTTGCACCCGCATCTAACCAGCCGAGGCTGTGTAGCTATACTGCGCAGTAGAAGTCGGTGGGGGGCGGCCGCCTGCCCCAGCGATTGGCTGCCCCCGGGTATTATGGCCAGCAGGCCGGGGCGCAGCGGGGTGAGACGGGCCCTGGAGCGGGCCGGTGGGGATGCGCGAAGCGTCCAGAATCTCAACTCTTGCCAGCGTGGAGGGACTTGAGTGCGGTTGCTGTGTGCTGTGCTCCTGGCGCCACGGCTGTCCCCTCTGCACTTACCGTCGCTCGGACGTCCATTTCCCGTGCATGTTTCGGTTTCGTGCGTGCTTTTTTGCTCGATGGTCCAGGATGGTCCTCGATGGTTCTCGCCGAGAAAAAATGCACACGTCCGAGCGGTGCCAAGTCCAAGAAAGCTCCGGGCGGAGCGCAGTCCCAGGGGGGCGGTTTTGAAGGGGGGGCAGCCCAGGCCCCCCGTGCGGTCCGGAACAAATCCGCCGACCCTGCTGCGTCGGCGTGTGTAAGGACGCTTTTCCGTTTGAGTCGACGTCGTCGTCTTCGTCGTCGTCGCCGTCGTCAAGGAACTGAAGGAACAACGAAATTAAGATAAACGTCGCAATTAAGTAAACGGGAAGCCCCTTCCCCTTTCATCCCTTCCCTGCCAAGAGGGGTAGAAGGGGCCTGGATCAGAATACCATCCCCCCAAGGGAGTCCTGGTGCCCCCAAAAGCAAAGCCACAAGACGGTCCAAGAGTGCCCCAAGAAGCTCCCCAAGACGATCCAAGAGAGTCCTGAATCGCCGAACGATCGGTCCAAGACGCCCAAGATAGTCTCCAAGGGCCTCCAAGAGCACTCGCGCGAGGGCCCCACGAGGTAAATTTCATGAATTTCCCTTCGGTTATTGACAGATTTGAGCGTCCTCGCATTTTCGGCTTCCCACCGATCCAATGCAGCCCCAGAGGCCCTCACGATCACCCCAAGACGGCTTACGAGGCCCCCAAGACGGCCCCCCAGGAAGGGATCCCGAGAGGCCCCCTCCAATGCTCCGAAGAAGCTCCCGAACTGCCCCCCAGAGACCCTCGAGAGCGCTCCGAAAACCCCACGAAGCAATCCTGAGGACTCTGACACACGTCAGCGTCGTCGTCGTCGTCGTCGCCGCCGCCGCGGCCGCCGCGGCCGCCGTCGTCATTGTCGTCGTCGTCCCCCTTCAGGGTCGGCGGCACTGGCCGGAAGGCCTTCGCAATCTAGAATTGCAATTCTTGCCAGCGTGGACCCAAACATTCAGGTATTGTACTAAAGATGTGATGCAAACTCTGTTGTGCAAGGTCTATAATGCAAGCTCTACGATGCAAGCCAAGTGATGCAAGCCATGTGGTGCGATGAGTGGTGTGAGCTATCTGGTGTAAGTTATTCGGTGCAAGGTATGTGATGCAAACTATGCGATGCAATACATGCTGTGTAAGCTAATCATGTGGTGCAGGACGCGTCATTCCGTAAGGGTGTGCAGGCTAGTTGGTCCAAGCTACGCGGTGACATATCTGGTGCAAACTAGCTGTGCGGTCCAAAACTCTGGGGTGTAAGGTCTATGATGCAAAACTGCGGTGCTGGCATTCTAGTGCAAGCCATGTGATACAAGTCATGTGATGATATAGCTGTCGTGTAGTCTACGTGGTCGACGCTATGCGGCGCGAGGTATGTCATCCATGTGGTGCAGGTCATGTGGTGTAAGCTAACAATGCCGTGGAAGGTACGTCGTGCAGTGAGGAGGTTGTGCAAGCTATGTGATGCAAGCTATGTGGTGCAGCGTCGCGGGTGCAAGCTATGTGGTGCAAACTAGGTGCAAGGTCTATGGTACAAGCTATGTGGTGGCAGATAAATGGTGCAAGTCATGTGTAATAAGATATGTGCGCAAGGTATGCCGTGTAGGCAAGGTGTGTCGCGCAGGGCTGCAAGCTATGCGTTCCAAGCTCTATGGTGCAAGCCAAGTGATGCAAGCCATGTGGTGCGATGAGTGGTGTGAGCTATCTGGTGTAAGTTATGCGGTGCAAGGTATGTGATGCAAGCTATGTGATGCAATACATGCTGTGTAAGCTAATCATGTGGTGCATGGTACGTCGTGCAGTCAGGTTGTGCAAGCTAGTTGGTCCAAGCTATGTGGTGGAAGGTATGTGGTGACTGCTACGTGGTGCAGGCTGTGTGGTCCAAGCTATGTGGTGCAAGGTACGTGATGCAAACACGTGGTGCTGGCTATCTGGTGCAAGCTATGTGGCGTAAACTACGTGGGCGCCCATTGGCGCCCACGATCGGGCACCCACCTGGCACGAACCCAGCATCAGCCGAAACCTCGGGGGTACCCCCCCCAGCGCGGGACGCCCACGAGGCACCCACGGGCGCCCACAACCGGGCACCCAACAGAGCAGATCAGCCAACAGGGAGCAGAACAATGGGCAATGGGCTCAACGAGAGGCGCTGTAGACGAAGGAGACAATAAGAGGCAGTATCACCTGGGGGAGATGCACGACGATGACGACGACGACGACGACGTCGACGACGAGGACGACGGCGGCGACGGCGGCGGCGGCGGTAGCGGCAGCGACGCCCCCGTGGTGGCAGGCCGGCGGAACCGACCTGGTCACGCTCAGGGACCTCCCGCGCAGTGTCCGCCGGCAGCTCGCCAGGCGTCAAGCACAGCGGGTGCGAGGAGCCCTCCGCCTCACAGGCAGCGCCACATACGGAACAAGTCATGCGTCAGGCTGTCTCTGGAGGTGTCATGGGCGGGGGGGGGGCAGGCGGGGGCACACCACTAAGATCGGGGATGGACAGAACCCCCTTTAGTAAAACGTGGTTTAGTGAAAACGACCTGAGGCCCAAACCTGGCGGGCGCAAGCCTGGAAAATGACGGCCACGGCGCCCTCTCGAGAACCGAAAACGGACAATTCACTCATCGACGTGTCACTGTTGGGGGTTCTGTCCACCCCCGATAAGAGGACCCCCCCCCGTGTCGCCCTGGGACCGATGCGTATCTCACCCGGGACCCCTCCTGGGACCCTCCCCCCCCCCCTCTCTCAGACGGGGAGGGATCAAAGGGATGGGCTCCTGGGGCTTTTGTGGGACCCGAGACCCCCCGGGAGGGATGCGTATCTGGGTGGCGACCTCAGGCTGTCTCTGGAGGTGTCATGGGCGGGGGGGGGGCAGGCGGGGGCACACCACTAAGATCGGGGATGGACAGAACCCCCTTTAGTAAAACGTGGTTTAGTGAAAACGACCTGAGGCCCAAACCTGGCGGGCGCAAGCCTGGAAAATGACGGCCACGGCGCCCTCTCGAGAACCGAAAACGGACAATTCACTCATCGACGTGTCACTGTTGGGGGTTCTGTCCACCCCCGATAAGAGGACCCCCCCCCGTGTCGCCCTGGGACCGAGGCGTATCTCACCCGGGACCCCTCCTGGGACCCTCCCCCCCCCCCTCTCTCAGACGGGGAGGGATCAAAGGGATGGGCTCCTGGGGCTTTTGTGGGACCCGATACCCCCCGGGAGGGATGCGTATCTGGGTGGCGACCTCAGGCTGTCTCTGGAGGTGTCATGGGCGGGGGGGGGGCAGGCGGGGGCACACCACTAAGATCGGGGATGGACAGAACCCCCTTTAGTAAAACGTGGTTTAGTGAAAACGACCTGAGGCCCAAACCTGGCGGGCGCAAGCCTGGAAAATGACGGCCACGGCGCCCTCTCGAGAACCGAAAACGGACAATTCACTCATCGACGTGTCACTGTTGGGGGTTCTGTCCACCCCCGATAAGAGGACCCCCCCCCGTGTCGCCCTGGGACCGAGGCGTATCTCACCCGGGACCCCTCCTGGGACCCTCCCCCCCCCCCTCTCTCAGACGGGGAGGGATCAAAGGGATGGGCTCCTGGGGCTTTTGTGGGACCCGAGACCCCCCGGGAGGGATGCGTATCTGGGTGGCGACCTCAGGCTGTCTCTGGAGGTGTCATGGGCGGGGGGGGGGCAGGCGGGGGCACACCACTAAGATCGGGGATGGACAGAACCCCCTTTAGTAAAACGTGGTTTAGTGAAAACGACCTGAGGCCCAAACCTGGCGGGCGCAAGCCTGGAAAATGACGGCCACGGCGCCCTCTCGAGAACCGAAAACGGACAATTCACTCATCGACGTGTCACTGTTGGGGGTTCTGTCCACCCCCGATAAGAGGACCCCCCCCCCGTGCCGCCCTCCTTTGTTGCCACACCGCACGCCCCGCGCGGCCGTCGCCCCCCCCACCCGCCGCCTCCCCCCCACCCGCAGACCGCCAAGTCCGGCATCGGGGGGCCACCGCTGCAGTCGAGCTGCACCCTGCGAGATGCTTAAGAAATCATGGGTTGAGAAATTCATAGTCTCAGAACTTGGACAAAACCCAGAACTTCTATCAAAATCTTGGGATTTACATTGAAAAGTTAAGAATAATCGACACTCTGCCCGAAAACTTAGGTTTTCTTAAGCATCGCCTAAGGTGTACTACCAGAACGAGCGCGAATGAAGAACGAAGCTCCTGGGTTGGCCGCACAAAGCGCCTGGGTGCACGAGGAGTGCCAGAGCAACAACCCCGGGGCGGACCAAAAGAACAGCGAGCCCCTTCCGAGCCCGAGCCGTTCCTGATTTCTGCGTCTTGGCTGTAGGCAGGCTTGAACTTGACCGGATCGGAAGCGGATCGGGTTGCAGCCGGATCGGCGCAGAGTCGTATCAATTTCGGATCGTTCGGGATCGCGGATCAAGCCCAGCCCCTGCAGGCTGGATAGGGGAAGGGGGTCGTGTCGGAAGGGATCGGCTCGAGATGGGAATCAAACTTCGGTGATTGGATCAAATCGAATCGCAGAGCGAGCAGGCCTGCTAGGGGGAGTCGCCACCTCCTCGCGGATGGGGGACCCCTAAGGACCCCACATAAACCAACACACCCTCCAAGATCGCTTCACATCGTCCAGAAACGTCCTGGGTCCTCGAGCACCAATCCTTAGCAGGAACTCGCAACCCTCCCTTAGTGGTGACTCCCCTTAGCGCTGCCTGGGCCTCGCCGTGGGCGTCGTAGAGTGGTCGTCGTCCTCGTCATCGTCGTTGTCGTCGTCGTCGTCGGTCAAGCTTCGATGTCCCAAAACGTGTTTCACTAGATTTTACCTTTGGGTGCCCAAGTTCGGGTCGCATGGCAGTCGGGAGTCGATCCAAGATGGAACACAATCCAGTATGACCCCTAGAGGAGTCTGGGAACCGATTCTCGAGCGGACTTCGGCCGCCATCGTCGCCGAGGCACACGGAGCGAGGGTCGATGCTCCACGGCTGGATCCGCCTCGAAATTCTGATCAAAACGCGCCCGTGAAAGGGCCTGCGGGTCGTCGTCCGTCATCCGCAATCAATGGTCGGCCGGTTATTTTTCAAAACGGGGCTCTCAGATCAACGCCGCGCGCAATCGTCCCAAAAGGTTCCAACAACTATTCCCCAAACAGTGCTTGCATTTAGGGGTTCAGACTTGGCTTAACAATCTCGGGGTGAATGGCGGTGTTTGCGGGCGGTGCCGCCCGTCGCCGCCGTCGCCGTCGCCGCCGCCTGGGGCGAGTTGCGGCTTTTGCAGGCGGTGCCGCCCGTCGCCGCCGTCGCCGTCGCCGCCGCTCGGGGCGAGTGGCGGTTTTTGCGGGCGGTTCCACCCGTCGCCGTTGTCGCCGTCACATAAATCCGCCGATCCGGCGTGTGAGTTTCAAGGAGTCTCAGCTACAGCCTCGAGGCTGAGCCTCAGCCTCTGGGGGGGGTGCCGGGGTGGCTCTGCCGGGGAAGGGGGGGTGGGGTGGGGTGGGGGGGGGCGAGTTCCCGGCGGATGCGTTTTTTTGACATCTCTCACAAGGATCGTGGCCTCCGAGGGGGTTCCGAACTCGAGTGCCACCCCTCCCGCACCAAGAGGCTCCGAGGAGGCCTCCAAGAGGCCCCAAGGGGCTCCCAAGAGACCCCCAAGAGGCCCTCTAGTGGCCCCAAGAGGCCCAAGAGGCCCCCAAGAAGCCCCAAGAGGCGCCCAAGAGGCCCCCAGAAGTCCTGGCCAACCACGAGATCCCAACCAGCATCCATGAGGCCTCTGACCCACCACCCACGCACGGTGGCGGGATAGGCCGACGGCCACTGGATCCGCCGCCCCCTGTGGTCTTGCCACAGGGGTGCACGGCGTGCTGGACGTTTCAGGTTTTGGTTTTGGTTCTTTTTCTAAAGAACTCCCCAATGGGCTTCGGCCCGTCCCGCCGGCCACCCGTAAGTTTCCGAAAATCCATCTGTCAATGCCTTTGTTGCCCCAACTTGGCCCAAGATGGCCTCCAAGACGGCCAAGATGGCCCAAGATGGCCTCCAAGATGCCTCCAAGACGGCCAAGATGGCCTCCAAGACGGGTAAGATGGCTCCAAGATGCCTCCAAGACGGCCCAAGATGCCCTCCAAGACGGCCAAGATGGCCCCAAGATGCCTCCAAGATGGCCCAAGAGGCCTCCAAGACGTTCTCCAGGAGAGCCCGAAGAGGCCAAAATCATTGGTTTTCCTTAGGTTTTTGAAGGTTTTTTGCGTTTTCTTCTTTTCGGCCTTCCGACGGCCCAAGAGGCCCCCAAGATCGCCCAAGAGGCCTCCAAGAAGGCCCTATGACGGCCCAAGGGCCCCCCAAGACGGCCCCAAGAGCGCCCCAAGACGGCCCAAGAGGCCTCCAAGACGCCCAACATGGCCTCCAAGACGGCCCTGAAGCGCCCCAAGAGGGCCCCAAGACGGCCCAGAGAGGCCCCCAAGACGGCTCCAGACGGCGTCAGACGGACCAGGAACGCCCTAAGACGGCCAAAGAGACCCCCAGGAAGCCCCCAAAGGCCCCCAAGAGGCCCAAGGAGGCCCCCAAGATGCCTCCAAGAGGCCTCGAAGAGGCCCCCAAGAAGCCCCCAACAGACCCCAAGGGTGCCCCAAGAGACTCCTAACAACCCTCATCCTCCTACTCTATTTCTTCCTCTTCCTCTTCCTGTTCATAATCATTCTCTCCCATGTGTTCCCCGAAAGCTTTCCAAACCGACTCGGGGAACTCATGGTCCGATAGCTTGGCCAAGCTCTAGTCCAACTTTCGGCCACATCGGCGTTTCCAAAAAGGCAGGGGGCGGCGGTGATTCGCCGTAGGCGTCTTCGATAAATGCTGAGTGAGAGGAGGGGAGGGAAAAAGAGAGGAGGGACGAGGGCGAAGAAGGATCACATCAGTCGGAGCGCCCCGGATCGGCGGCACTGGCCGAAGGCCACTACAATAATCTTCTTTCCTTTAAAAGAAGGAATCCGCTGGCCCCCTTGTGGGGCCACCAGGCTGTAGGCCGGAGGTTCACAGTTTCCTGTACCAGTTGCAGCTTCCAGTTTCCACTGCTACAATTCTGCTTACTGCTGCTTACTGTTCCTTGTTGGCTTCTTGCTGCTTACTGTTCCTTGTTGATGGACCGCGCGAGGGGAGGAGGCCCAAAACGGGTATTTTTTATTACGGAGAGATCGTATTGTCTGAATTGCTGGGGTGGGTGAAAATTTACACCCCCCACGCAGATCGGCGTGGTCAGGGTTCAAACATGAAAGGGATTTGCCGCATTTCTGATGTTCGGTGGCACCCCTCACGCAGATCGGCGGGGTCAGGGTCCAAAAAACACAGGGGATTTGCTACATTTCTGTCATTCTGTGGCACCCCTCA